TGCGGCCTTGGAGGCGGAGGCGGAGGCGCTTGAAGCTGAGTCCGTCCATGGACCAGTGAGCCTCATCAGCCCACGCCATCAACGGGTCGGTAACCAAAGAAAGTGGGTCGACCCAATCGTCATTAAACTTGATGTCGGTGTAAATTCGAGGCCTAGGTAGGCTGCTACCGTAGAACTTTCCGGGACCTTGAGTTACCACCATTACTGATTGCTGAAGGATTTAACAATTTCTTTCTCTCTCTCTCTATGTCTGTGATTATTGAAGGATTAATAACAATTGTGAATCAACTAGGATTATGTATTTATGTGTATATATATATATAGAGAGAGAGAGAGAGATCTTCAGTGGTGTATATTGGGCGGGATTATGTATTTATGTGAATCAACTAGGATTATGTGAATCAACTAGGATTGGGCGAGATTTATGTGAATCAACTAGGATTATGTATTTATGTGTATATATAGAGAGAGAGATAGAGAGATCTTCAATGGTGTAGATTGGACGGGAATTTTGGTGCCAAATTAAGTGCCGTTTTGGCAACTTGCCTAAAAAGCTATGTTTTGCAGCTCTTTTAAAAAAAAAAAAAAAATTGGCGCTAAAATTCTCGCCCAATCTACACCATTGAAGATCGATCTCTCTCTCTCTATATATACACATAGACACATAGCCCTAGTTGATTCACATAAATCTTGCCAAATCCAAGTTGATTTACATAATCCTAGTCGATTCACATAAATACATAATCCCGCCCAATCTACACTATTGAAGATCTCTCTCTCTATATATATATATATATACACACACACATAAATACATAATCCTAGTTGATTCACAATTGTTATTAATCCTTCAATAATCACATATAGAGAGAGAAATAAAGAAATTGTTGAATCCTTCAACAGTCAGTGATGGTGGTAACTTAAGGTCCCAGAAAGTTCCATGGTAGCATCTTACCCAAGCCCCAAATCTACACTGACATCAAGTTTAATGACGAGCGGGTCAACTTCTTCGGTTACCAACCCGTTGATGGCGTGGGTCGAGGAGGCTCACTGGTCTATGAGCGGACTCTGCTTCGAGCGCCTCCGCCGCCAAGGCCGCATTGGACGCAACATCATGAGGCTCCGCACCCAGTGCAAGAAATTCCTCAAGAACCGAAGTCGATTCTCTACCAAAATGATTGTCGATCTCAGCAGCGATTCGGACGATAATGAAGATAACAAGGATTCCAGCCCATCGCCGCCTCCGGCACCAATGACAACAAAACGACGGAGGCAATTCACGGCGGTGATCGAAGAGGAAGATGACCATGAGGATGCAGATCTGGAGTTAAAGACTGGGGTGATGAGGTTGGGGTTAGAAAGAGAAAGACACTGGCGAGGAAGCTTGGGGATGATTTTAATCAGGCAACGATGGAAAGTGGGTTGGAGACGAGTAAGGGAAGTTCGGTGAAGAGTTTAAGCAATGGATCGAAGACGGTGGCGTTGGGAACTCAAAGTCAGAGGATAGAGGAGAGTGATGGTGGTGGTGAGGTGGTGAAGGTGGTTGAGGATGTGAAGAAGACGAATTCGAAGGGAAAGAAGTTGAATGAGAGAATAATACTAAATGTATATACTAAAAATTATCATTTAAATACATATTATATTTTTAAATATTTTTAAAATTTTAAAATAAATTTTATACACATTTGTTTTGTAAGGTGTTGCTATATAGGATTTGGAGTTAAAATAAGTATTTTTTTTATAGGCTTTTCAAGCCCAAAAAATAAAACTATGGGCCCGTTAACTTGTGGTGTGACGGAATTGTGCTACAACGGCCCAAGTTAACACTTAGCAGGCCCATGCTTAGCATAGGATCTTTTATTTTTTTAGATTGCAACTTTAATGAGAAAAAAAAGAAAAAAAACAACAACAACTAACAAGGCCCGCAGTCCGGGGTGGGCCCGGCCTGGTTAGGACCTGGCCCAAACTTAGCCCGCAATTTTGGGTCTGGGCCATTATTTTGAAATTCGGCCCGACTTATGGGCCCTGTCCATTGGCCCACTCAAGACCTATTCAAAGCCTGGCCCGAGGCCAGTGTCATTTTTTGTGGAAAAAAATAAAATTTTGGTGAAAAAAATAGAAAAAAATTAAAAAAATGTTCAAAACCTGCCTAAGCCCGAGCCCACGCCTAGGCCCACCGGGCCACCCAATGCTCGAATATCCCTTGGGCCTGTGCCTAATTTTTTGACCCGTGGACCGAGCCTACTAGAATTTTGACTGGAGCAAGCGAGGCCCGACATGGGCGGGCCCGAGTCTAGGCCCAGATGAGCCGAGTCGGGCCAAATTTATACTCTGGTGAGAGTTGAGTCCAAATTTTCTAGAGTGATTTTTTTTAGAGTAATTTTTTGTATGGTTTAGATTTTTTTTTAAGTGATTATCAATACTATTATATCTTCAACTTAATTATGTTATACCATTAACTTTCATATAATTAAATCTCAAACATTCAAAAAATACTCTAAATGATTTGGACTTGTGAGAATCACTCACTAAACTTATCACAATGTCATCATCTCTTTTTCTACCCCTACCATCCTTAGTCCATCACCCACCCTTTTTCATAATCTCTTTTTTTCAATAATTGAGTCTTCGAGTTAATTTGTGCATATTTCGACTAATTTCAAATACTAAATTTAACGACTGGACAAATTTTTAATCTGCCTTTAAAATGACTCTAACTCATAACCATTGATCTTAAAGTAATGCTAGAGACTCCAAAAGTTTTACCAAAATTTCTATCAAATGTCTCACATAAGTGTGAGATTCACATAAGACCCATATGGTGTAGGTTCCATACCCATGTATGATATTTGATAAAAATTTTGATAGAATTTTTAAAATTTCTAACATTTTTCTTGATCTTATCCTGACTCCAAACCTTTTTACACTTCCACCATTTCCCCACTTATTCCTACACTTGGACCTACTCCTCATCCCACTCCAACCAACAACTTCATGGCCCAAACCTTAACAATTAAAACCCCTTCAATCCCTTTCTATCACAACCCCTCACCTCTTTCTCTATTGTTGCAATTTTTGTTGAATGCAATTAATACACTTGTGTTGAATGTAAATGCAGTGTGTGCACGAGTATAAGTGCAAATTATGTAAAGTTGTGCACATTTCTCACTTGCAATGTTCTCATAGGATTATTGATAATGAAGATAAAAACCTTGAAAATTAATCAAAACATCCTGTTAACGAAAGTACACAAACTCAAATAGTAAATCTGTGAACGAGCATGTAAATTAACAGCACAACTAGTAATCATTCTCTGAATTCATCAATTGCATCTTTGATTCCCCCATTAGGGATAAACAGATTAAACAAATGGTCAAGCAATGGATAAGCACCACTCTCAAGAACAATGAAAATAATGGACTTAATTTAAAAAACCCACACTGACAAAGAAAAGCCTACATAGTAGTATTTTGGATAGTCAAAGAGCATAATATCCACAGAGACTAATTATCGAACACATCAAACACAATCAACTCAACGCCAATCTCGACGAAGTCCTGGTTTTACCAGTAGGAGTAAAAGAACCACTCTCTGCAACACTCTTAGCTTTTTCTTTCTCTCCAACACGCTTCAGCTTCTTTTCCTTCGAATTCGTCTTTTTTACATCCTCAACCACCTTCACCACCTCATCGCCACCATCACTCTCTTCAGTCCTCTGGCTTCAAGTTTGCAACACCACCGTCTCCGATCCATTACTCAAACTCTTCACCGAACATCCCTTACTCTTCCACAACCCACTCTCCGTCGCTACCCGATCAAAATCATCTCCAAGCTTCCTCACCAGCATCCTCCTCTTTCTAATCCCAACCTCGTCACCTCCAGAGCCATTTTTCCGCCCTTTAAATTCTTTAACTCCAGATCTACATCCTCACGGTCATTTTCCTCTTTGATCACCATCGTGAACCGCCTCCGTCGCTTTGTCCCCATCGGTGCTAGAGGCGGCGATGGGCTTGAATCCTTGTTATCTTCATCATCGTCTGAATCGTTGCCGAGATCAGCAATTAGATTGGCAGAGAATCGACTTCGATTCTTGAGGAATTTCTTGCATTGGGCGCGGAGCTTCATGACGTTGCCTTCGATGCGACCTTAGAGGCGAAGGCACTTGAAGTTGAGTCTACCCATGGACCAGTGAGCCTTATCGGCCCACGCCATCAATGGGTCGGTAATCGAAGAAGATGGGTCAACCCACTCGTCGTTGAATTTGATGTCAATGTAGATTCGGGGCCAGGGTAGGCTACTACCGTAGAACTTTCTGGGACCTTGAGTTGCCACCATCACTGATTGTTGAAAGATTCAAAGAGAAAGAGAAAGAGAAAGAGAAAGAGAAAGAGAAAGAGAAAGAGATATCTTCAATGGTGTATATTGAACGAGATTATGTATTTATGTAAATCAACTAGGATTGAGCGAGATTTATGTGAATCAACTAAGATTATGTATTTATGTGTATATATACATATAAAGAGAGAGAGAGAAAGAGAGATCTTCAATGGTGTAGATTGGGCGGGAATTTTGGCGCCAAATTAAGTGCCGTTTTTGCAAATTGTCAAAAAAACTACATTTTGCAGCTATTTTCAAAAAAAAAAATTGGCGCCAAAATTCCCGCCCGCCCAATCTACATCATTGAAGATCTCTCTCTCTCTCTCTTTATATATATATATATACACATAAATACATAATCCTAGTTGATTCACAAAAATACATAATCCCGCCCAATCTACACCATTGAAGATCTCTCTCTTTCTATATATATACACATAATTACATAATTCACATAAATACATAATCCCGCCCAATCTACACCATTGAAGATCTCTCTCTTTCTATATATATACACATAAATACATAATCCTAGTTGATTCACAATTGTTATTAATCCTTCAATAATCACAGACAGACAGACAGAGAGAGAAAGAAATTGTTAAATCCTTCAACAGTTAGTGATGGTGGTAACTCAAGGTCCCGAAAATTTCTACGGTAGCAACCTACCCAGGCCCCAAATCTACACCGATATCAAGTTCAACGACGAACGGGTCAACCCGCTTTCTTCGATTACCGACCTGTTGATGACGTGGGCCAAGGAGGCTCACTGGTCCATGGACAAACTCAGCTTCAAGCACCTCCGCCTCCAAGGCCACATTAGAGGCAACGTTACGAAGCTCCGCCCCCAACGCAAGAAATTTCTCAAAAGCCGAAGTCGATTCTCCACCAATCTGATTGCCGATCTAGACAGCAATTTGGACGATGATGAAGATAACAAGGATTCAAGCCCATTGCAGCCTGTAACACCGATGGTGACAAAGCAGCAGAGGCGGTTCATGGTGGTGATCGAAGAGGAAGATGATCGTGAGGATGTAGATCTGGAGTTAAAGAATTGAAAGGGAGGGAAAAACAGCGTTGGAGGTGATGAGGTTGGGGTTAGGAAGAGGAGGAGGCTGGCAAGGAAGCTTGGGGGTGATTTTGATCGGGCAACGACAGAGTGTGGGTTAGAGAAGAGTAAGGGAAGTTCGGTGAAGAGTTTGAGTAATGGATCGGAGACGGTGGCGTTGCGAACTCAAACCTGAAAGACTGAAGAGAGTGGTGGTAGCGATGAGGTGGTGAAGGTGGTTGAGGATATAAACAAGACGAATTTGAAGGAAAAGAAGCTGAATGAGAGAATAATACTAAATGTATATACTAAAAATTATAATTTAAATATATATTATATTTTTATATATTTTAAAAAATTTAAAATAAATTTTATACACATTTGTTTTGGAAGGTGTTGCTATATAGGATTTGGAGTTAAAATTAAGTATTTTTTATAGGCTTTTCATGCCTAAAAACAAAAAACTATGGGCCCGTCAACTCGTGATGTGACGAAATTGTGCTACAACAGCCCAAGTCAACACTTAGCGGGCCCATGCTCAGCATAGGATCTTTTATTTTTTAAAATTGCAACTTTAATGAGAAAGAAAAAGAAAAACAACAATAACAACAACAACAATAACTAATTACATGGCTCGTAGTCCGGGATGGGCCCAGCCCGGCCCAGTTAGGCCCTAGCCCAAACTTAACCCGCAATTTTGGGTCTGGGCCATTATTTTGAAATCCAACCCAACTCGTGGGCCCTATCCATCGGCCCGCTCAAGACTTATTCAAATCCCAGCCCGAGGCCCAATGTCATTTTTGGTGAAAAAAAATTAAAAAATGTTCAAAACCTGCCAAGCCTGAGCCTAAGCCTAGGCCCACCAGGCCGCCCAATGCTCGAATATCCCTTGGGCCTAGCCCTGTGCCTAATTTTCTAGCCCGTGGACTGGGCCTACCAGAATTTTGATGAGAGCTAGCGAGGCCCGACATGGGCAAGCCTGAGCCCAACCGGACCAAATTTACACTCCTGGTGAGAGTTAAGTCCAAATTTTCTAGAGTGATTTTTTTAGAGTAATTTTTTGTATGATTTAGATTTTTTTTTTAAGTGATTATCAATACTACCCTCAACTTAATTATGTTATACCGTTAACTTTCATAGAATTAAATCTCAAACATTCAAAAAATACTCTAAATGATTTGGATTTGTGAGAGTCACTTACTAAACTTGTCACAATGTCATCATCTCTTTTTCTACCCCTACCATCCTTAGTCCATCACCCACCCTTTTTCATAACCTCTTTTTTTCAATAATTGAGTCTTCGAATTAATTTGTGCATATTTCGACTAATTCCAAATACTAAATTTAACGACTGGACAAATTTTTTGTCACCTTTTAAAATGAGTCGAACTCATAACCATTGATCTTAGAGCAATGCTAGAGACTCCAAAAGTTTTACTAAAATTTCTATTAAATGTCTCACATAAGTGTGAGATTCACATGGAACCCATATGGTGTAGCTCCCACACCTATGAAAGATGTTTAGTAAATATTTTGATAGAATTTTTAAAATTTCTAACATTTTTCTTGATCTTATCCTGTCTCCAAACTTTTTTACACTTCCACCATTTCCCCACTCATTCCCACACTTTGCCCTACTCCTTCTTATCCCACTCCAACCAACAACTTCATGACCCAAACCTTAACAATTAAAACTCCTTCAATCCCTTTCTGTCACAATCCCTCACCTCTTTCTCTGTTGTTGCAATTTTTGTTGAATGCAAGTGATACACTTGTGTTGAATGTAAATGCAATGTGTGCACGGGTATAAGTGCAAATTATGTAAAGTTGTGCACATTTCTCACTTGCAATGTTCTCATAGGATTATTAATAATGAGGATAAAAACCGTGAAAATTAATCAAAACAACCTCATTTCAACTAAACATATGTCATATTCAATATAAAATAGGTTTCTTTAAAACTTTCGCCTAACTATTTTGACTTGCAAAAAATTCAAAAAAAACATCTTTTTTAAAAGTATGATAAACATGAAGTATCAACAATAACTAATTTGGAGTTGAAAATTGAATATTAACTATTTTAGCTAAAATTTTAATTTTTTTTTTAATCTCAATTTAGGGTTGATGTTCATGAATGTGATTTATTTTAAAAGGGAAAAAATTTCTCTACGATGCTTTTGTTGATCTCTGTAAAAAATTATATTAATTATTTTTTCTTCTCCTCTGTCCTAAGCTATATTTATTATTTGCTGAGCTTAAGTGCCTATATGTGGGTTGAGTTTGTGAGGTCACATAAAGTGAGTCTTGATATAGATCTGTGCACAGTTTCTTGTAAGGTCTGTTTGAAGGATTTCTAGAGGGCCAGGCTGCATATATGCGCCAACCCTTTTAGCTGTTCTTAAATAGGATTGTTGGTGTCTTTTTTTCTTGATTTTGTACAGATAGCCTATGCTGATATGTCAGCAATCTGTGTTTGCTATGGTTACACCTGCTGGAAACTCCTGCTGGAAACATATTCTTTTTTCCTTGGTTTGTTGAACTTTGGAAGCACTGTAACAGGTTGTATGCCTGCTAGAAACGCCTGTGGAGTGAAGAAATTTGCATTTTCCTTACTCTGTTGATATCACGGTGGACAACAAAAGTTGATAGCTGCACAATGCGCCTCAAGAGTGAAGAAAGTTTTTCTTTTCTGTTAGTCGTTATATATATTTGTAATGATAACTCTTTTGATAGTCCTCTTTTGACCTATTCCTACGGGTTGTGTAGGGTCCTTTTTTATTTTTTTGTTTTGTTTCAAATCTTGGAGCATATGGAATGTGTTCATGGTCCTTATATTGTCGGTATGGGGCTCATGAACATATTCACATATTTAAAATCTGTTTTTGGTTGTTATTGTGATTTACATATATTTGTAAGAAGTCTAGGTTGCTTAATTGAGTGGTTTCAAATTCCAAATCTGGTTAGTTTGCACTTTTTAATTTTGGTTGTTTTTTAATTTGTTTGTTTCGTTTGGCCAACTGCTCTTCATGGGTAAGTTTTGTTTGTATAATTTGTTTAGGTCTAGGGCATGCCCTTGTAACTGTGTATATTTTTGGTTTTTTAATTTATGACTTGCTCATTCAAAAAAAAATTATCAATAGATACTTGATTAAATTATATTTGTGTTAATAATAATGATAATTTAAAAAATAATTATTAATATAAATATATTCTAATCAAGTAAGTATCGAGATTTCATTAATATAAATTTTTTACAAAATTAAAATAATTAACAAGATCTACATGTTAAAGGGCTCCGATCATCGATGTGAACCCCAACAGCACCAAAATCCTCTCCCTTTTTGAAAAACCAAACCAGGCCGCTCTTTCAATCACTGCTTCTCTCTCTCTCTCTCTCTCTCTCTCTCTCTAAGATGGAACCTTCAAAAGCTGCAATGGCGTCTACACTATCTCCATCGGAAGGACAGCTTATTCCACATTCAGAAGTTGAATCTCAGCTCTCCTCTCTGCTCTTTGGTACTCTCTCTCTCTCTATATATATATATATGTAATGTATAATATACACATGATTAGTTAAGCTTAGTTTTGCGATTTTACTTGTTATCGTCCATTCTTCGAAGATTTGATCATCATGTTTTGTAAATTGCTACAATTTGAATATACAGAAAACTTATATGGTATCGAAGCCACTCTGAACCGAAACCCTAGAAGCTGTCTCCGAATTGATCACAATTGTCTCTCGGAAATCAGCACTCTGGTTTTATCTCTCTGAGTTGCAGGTCGTGACTCCCTCTTCTTCTTCTTCTGTGTTCGTTTGGTTCGAGCGAAGGTCCCGAGTTGTCCTTCGTCTGGTCATCTGGTTCGTCTCTCTGGTTCTCTGCCTCGCTACCTATTCGCGAAAACCCTAGCCTCTGGTTCGTGATCTGTCACTGGAATCGTGAAGTTGAGTCGTCGTCATCGCTGGTTCTCTCCTGCTTCGATTCGTACGGTCGAAGAGCTGTCTGCTGCCCTTCTTCCTCTCGATTGGCTTCGACTTCGACCCTTTGCTCTGTGCCGGCTACTCCAGAGTCGACTTCGCGTATTCTCTCTCTCTCTCTCTGATTCGAAGTTGAACCACTGTGACATCTCACTTAGGCCTCATTTGGGAACATGCTAATTTAGTAAATTTTTAGCTATTTGGTTAAAATATGAGCTAAAAAAAATTAGTATGTTTGGGATGATTTTTTGACTTTTTACGAAAAGATGTGTAAAAAGTAGAGAGAAAAGAAAATATTTGACTTTTTAGTATGGATTGTTGGCTTTTTAGTTAATTTAATAATTTTTTAAATTTTTAGTTAAAAGGGAGGGTTCCCAAACGAGGCCTTAGTTGTGACTTGGTTCTGAAATTACCCAGTTCTCTTTTATTCTTGTTTGGACCAAACAAGAATAGGAATTAGAGGCCATGTTGCTTGAGCCGACATGATTATTCCGACTATTACTCCAAACAACCCGAGGGCACTACCACAGATTTCAATCACAAGAATCTTCACAAAAAGTGATGAGTTCTGGGCATCAGATAATGCACAGCTGCTTCCGATAATTCCCACACACAGCCCGCAGACGAGGTTTGCGAAACCCACAATAATCCCTGAGGCAAAGATAGCATAACCAGCTCTAAGAGATTCAGGTTCATATCTTTGTGATGGGGGAACACTCTCCAACTTTGTTTGTAGAATAATTGCCACAATAACACCGTATATAGCAACAGCTTCACAGAAGATCACACTGAAAGCACAAGGAATGGTGTCAAATTACAATCTCAATAGGCATATCCCATAAATAAGCTCATATGAGGATAGAGAAATTTTTGTATGCGGATAGGGTACATACCATGTGGTACCTTCTATTATTGTGATTGGCTTTGACAATAGGGTCCACTACATTTATGTTAGTGTTTGGGGAACAATAGTGGGCATATACATTTGTGATTAGTGGAAGGTAGTGTCACATGGTACCCTATTGGCATACAAAATTTCTCGGATATGAGTGACTGATTTAAATCACAATTACACCATAAATAGCAACAGTTTCACAGAAGATCACACTAACAGCATAAAAAGATTTTCAAGTCAAATTACAATCTCAAGGAGTATCGATTGAAGTCATTCAAAGTTATCAAGTTCAAGAAAGCACAGTGCATACCATTGTGCCCTCATCGTGGTCTGTAGTTGACTTCATCCCATTTCAAAGCTTTTAGCTTGACCGTCAAAACCTTGATTGGTCAGACAGGTTCATGTGTATGGGCCTCACTCTAGCCCAACACGACCACCAACTGTAATGTGCGTATAGGTGGTGGGGGTAAAAGTTAGGAAGCCTTACAAGTGTTTAGGCACTTAATAACTAAGCTAAATCCTTGATTGACACAAGGGGAAGCAATTATGAATGTTTGAGCCATGAACCAGACCAAGAAATGGCTTGATTACTGCCTATGAGGTTAAACCGATTACTGCCTAGTCCAAAAATCTTACACATCCCTTCTAAGTCAAGAAAATACACAGTTTTTCTTGTTATTTTTGTCACTTAAATTTTCTAATCGGTTTGACTGTTTCATGCTATGCTGCTTCTTAATACTTGCGCCTTCACCCTGGCTCTTTCATTTTGAGAAAACCAGTGGTAGCATAACTTGTAAGATTTGCAACTTCAAAAGAGAGCTCTACATTCAAAAGCAAGAATGTCATAAAGTTTGATTTGATTTCAGAACCAAAGTCAAAATTGTTGAAAGTTTATATTTTTTTATAAATCAAACACAGCATATTTGACACACTGAATCAAAATTAAGACCAATTTTTCCTTCAATCCAAGGGTTAATTATAAACTAGCAATTCTGAATGAAACTCTAATTATTACTCCAATAAAGGTAAACACACACAATGATAGACTGGAATTGAAAATATGATTGGTTTTTCTAGATTAACTTATCACTGTAATAGATTTTTCTGATGTGGGTGATTTGTAATGCCCTCTTGACTTGAGATTATTTGAATTATTTCCACACATCCTTCATAAACAACTTTTTTTGTGTGGAGGCATGGGGCGGTGTAGCATGAAAATATAAATAAGTCTGATTAAATAAATAAGCCATGAAAATATATCATAAACTCACCTCTTCAGTATTTATAATCCATCATAAACAAAACAACTTAAAATTAGAAAAAGGGAATAAATAGAACATTTCAGACCAGAACTCAATCACCTACTACTTAACCAATAGAGAATAAGATACATAACATGTGGTACATTAGTTCTGTTGGTACCAGTGACAGGAATCACCACACTGACAAAAAAAAAAAAAAAAAAAGGCAAACTAAACTGGTTTAGCAGGCCATGTTGCTTGAGCCGACATGATTATTCCGACTATTACTCCAAACAACCCGAGGGCACTACCAAAGATTTCAATCACAAGAATCTCTGGCACACCTTTAGTGGGCACGACTTTTGAGGGCTCGATATATATATATACATGTATATCTTTTGGGCAGCCTATATACACACTCATACAGTGTCTTTTTTATGGGTCCGACAAGACTCTGTAAACTGTCCCGACATAGATTCCGGTTAGTTTCTATAAGGGTCCGACAAGACTCTGTAAACTGTCCCGACATTGATTCCGGTTAGTTTCTACTAGGGTCCAGCAAGACTCCGTAAACTGTCACAACAACTGTCACAACATTGTCTGCTACAACGGTCCGACATGACCCCATAAACTGTCTTCTACATCGGTCTGACACCACCATACAGTGCCCTCTACCACGTTATGACACCCCCATACAGTGTCATCTACAACGTTATGACACCACCATACAGTGTCCTCTACAACGTTATGACACCACCATACAGTGTCTTCACCAACGGTCTGACACGACCATACAGTGTCTCTTATCCTTTTTTTATGTATTTTCTTGTTTTGTTCCTCTCTTCAAACTCAAGTTGGTTAGTTTCTATCCTCCTTGAGTTTGCGGGGGGCTGTTAGAATTTATCATCACCTACCACCACTACCACCTCACCTACTCCACTAAACCTAACCCACTACACCACTACCACCTCACCTACTCCACTAAACCTAACCCACTACACCACTATCACCATCCACTACACACCATCCACTACACCTACATCTATATAAGGAACCATTTGTAATAGACAGTATATGAATCAATCAATAATATCAATCAATAATATCAATCATCAATACATATTTCATTCTCTCTATTTTTCCATACATCAAATTTAACAGTTTGTATGGCATCATTGTGCATATATGGCATCATTGTGTAAATAGGAATTAGTTTGTATTTTCTTTTTCACAATCATGCCATATATATAAAACATGCCATATATACAATATATTCTCACACAAGTTTGTAAATTTTAATTCATCTTAATTTTTTACTACATATATATATATTTTCAGAGCTAGTAATATGATTTAACTTGTATTTATAAACTTATGTAGTGGTTGGTTCATTGAAATGGAATAAAATAGTCATTCATCAAAATATCTATTACTATGATTGGTTGACTAAAAAAATTAATGAAAAATATATTGCAAATGGAATCGTCATTTATTGTTGTACAAGAATGATCATTTCATTCCATTCCATGTCATTCCTATGAACCAAATGAAGCATTAAAGATCTGTTGTTGAATAATGAATATTGTTTACATAAATTAATTTAGTTTTAAAATGTGCATTTTAGTGAATTTTAGTTGGACAATTTCGATAATTAGGAACACAATATTTCTCAATTCTATCAAATTCATTGGGATTTCATAATACGTTCGTATAGAATTTGGTCTACACTGTTGCAGTACCATACAATTTTGGGCTCTGTATTTATGGTGTTTGGTCTGGCTTAATTTGAGCGGATTATAGCTTTTGGCTTCTAAAAAGCTACTACAGACTGTTTGGTTGAGCTTAAGGCCAACCACTTGAGCTTCTATAGATTTTTTTCTTACATAAAAAAGTCTAAAATCAGAAGTGGCTTGGAGCAGCTTCCGCAACTGGATTATGCGGAGGGGTGTCGAAATTACTTAAATGCCCTTCAATAATTTGAAGTATTACCAAATTGCCACTATATAAACCACAAAATCACTGTTCATTCTCTGAGAGAGAGAGACACAGGCGATTTCCGGCGTATGAACTAGATCTCTCTCTCTCTCTCTCTCTCTCTCTGACGTTGTTTTCTGGCTGTGCTATGAAACCCATCGCAATTTGAAACCATCGCGAGTGACGATGAACGGCATGTGATCGACGACGTGACGATGAAACCCTTCTTCTTCTCCTCTCCGACGTCGCGATATGAAACCCTTCTTCTCCTCTCCGGCGTCGCGATCATGATCAACGCTGTCTCTTTCTCTTCGCGATCGCGATCGCGATCAACAACAGGCTTCTCTCTCTCTCTCTTTGCGATCAACGATTGCAGAGGGCTGCTGGAGTGTGGGATGAGGAGGAGAAGAACGGCGTGGCCGGCGGTAGCTAGGGCTATCGGCGGTAAGGTTTGGTATTTGTGATGAATTATTAAATTAAAAAAAGTTAACAACTTCTATATTTTAATTAATATTAATTAACAATTTTAATATTATTAGTTAATATTGATTGTAATGGATTAATAATAAATTAAAAAAATTAACAATTTTAATATTATTAGTTAATATTGATTGTAATGGATTAATAATAAATTAAAAAAATTAACAAATTTTATATTATTAGTTAATATTAATTGTAATGGATTAATAATAAATTAAAAAAATTAACAAATTTTATATTATTAGTTAATATTAATTGTAATGGATTAATAATAAATTAAAAAAATTAACAATTTTTATATTATAATTTGTATTATAATGAAAAAAAATAATCACAATTTTTAATTAATTGACATTGTGCATAATGAAAAAATAAATCACAATTTTTATATTTATTGGCATGTAATAAAAAAAAAATGAAGAAAATGAAATAGGTTAACAATTTTTATATCTAATAAGGGTAAAAAGGACATTACATAACAAAAAGTTATTTTACAGCTTATTAAACAAACATTACTCAGCAACTTAAATCTATAATCTAACAGTTATACCAAACAGGTTAACAACTTCTAATTAAATCTATAATCTATTAAGGTATAAGCTATAATCTATTTTAACAGCTGCACCAAACGCCCCCATTGTCCTATCGATCAGAAAACCTGGCCCTATCATTTTGAGTTTTTGAATTGACAAAACGGGTTTTTGATTGAAGTGGCTGAGTTTGACCTGATTTTGTCAAATGCTAGTAGCATAATTCTATTGTTGTGGCAGTTTACCGGTCCAACACTGTTTCTAAAATATTCTTTCAAAATAGGTTATACGTGCTATTCCTGTAATACTATCGATATGTTTGATGGCCAAGTATTTGAATAAACTAAGTATTGCAAGTGCTTTGGAACCCTTTATCTCGTGTTATGTTTAATGAATTTAAATTGTATTAAAGCAGTAATGTGATTCTCACTCAAACTGCTAAATTTAATTTAACTTCCTACTTTGAGCAAATGCAATTCCAAACCATGAGGATTTTTGTCAAAAGCAAATCTTTTCGTAAAACAGATTCTCAGTGATTATTTTGGTACTCGTTCATTTTGTAAAAATTTAGTTCGTGGATTTTGTTGAAATGTAGGTGAAGATTAGTTGTTTCTAGAAAACTGAGAAAACTTTCTTCATAATATAAGCATTGTTGAACTTCTTGACCTGTTCGTGTTGCGGAGCAAACATCTACTTTGAGGAGAAAGGAATCCTTTCCTTAAGTTAATTCAAGCTGGTACATCATAATCCATAAACAAAAAGAGAAGCTTCAATTTCTAGTTAAAGGCTCTCCATCTCTCTCTTTTCCCATGTCTCTCAAAATTATAGAATTGGACTTACCTTTATAACATATGAATTCGTGATACTATGCTCAAATTTCTTTATATTACTGAAATGTCTGAGTACAACTGATCTTTGATTAAGCATATCTAACCCCTTATTGTCACTTGTACTTCAAAATTTTGTAATATTGAATTTTGCTGAACAGTGCTACAATCTCATCCCCTTCTATAGTTTTTGCTAGGGAATAGCATCCTTGACTGAACCTAGTGAAATTGATAAGTTTCACATGACATCTGTTGAAAGCCCAACACATGCCTGTCATAAATCGTTAACACTCGTTATAATTTCTGCATATTTAATCATGCAAAAAATTTTGACGTCACTAATGCAGTATCTCATCATATGCTTTGCATGCTATTAAATAGTTCTAGTGTACCAATTATGAAAATAGTTTGTTATGAATCATAGACCAGACCCGTGCTAGTCAACATGACAGAGTTGGATTTTCATTATTCTCTGAGGATTTCTTTTAACTTATTCATTTTGTTTCTGTTGGTATAAAACTTGTTTGTTCTTTTACCGAGTGCAGATCTCTCACAGCAGGTGCAAGTAGCAATGGAGAACATGCTTAAGATGACTATGTGAGTTGATAACCAGTGTCGCCTTTTTGGAAAAATTGTTTTGTTAGCCACTAATGCAATACCTAATGGAGATGCAGGATAAACTTTTTTCTCAGAATGCTATATCTAGAATTCTTCATTACGTTTTCCTCATAATAAACCTATTGATTTTCCCATATCACAATCACTGTTGTTCTTATTAGAGATTGAAGGCTTACTTCTAAGTTATTTATTTTAAAATTTTCAGTACCACAACCTTTTATTTATTGCAGGCCCTTTTAAGTTACTGATGCATCTGTTATCTCTCTCTCTCTCTCTCTGACACATGCAGACTCACACACACTTTCTTTGTCATTTTGGTGTGTGGAATATTTAAAACCAATATTTTGAGACTGTTCCGTTCACAACAATGTTATCCAACTTATCTTTCATTATTGTTTCTTACTTTTTACTTGATGGAAATCTCCACAGTGAAATTGATGAAAACTCCTCTGGAATAATGGAAGAGATAGCAAAGTGCAAAGACAACGCTTTTGAGAGGAAGAAAATTCTCGAGGAACAGAAGGAAAGTTTTCAGAAAGCTGCATTCACTGTTTTAGACCTGCTCAACAAGGATATCAGATAAAAACCGTAAGCTCCACCATTTTCCTATGCTAGGGTTCGCTTATTAAATATAAAACTTTCATGACATTGTTAAGAGTTCTGACAAGTACGTCAGTAACTCAAATGCTCTTTATCAATGCTTTTATGGATAAAACAATTGAATACTTTTCAGTTGATATTCGCCCGACTTGGAGCAAGCAAAAGGATGAGTAATCAGTTTATTGTGACAGAAGGTACATTCTTGCATAGCCATTCGACCCTCGGTGCTGTGTCATCATCTCACCGGTATAGATATTAAATTTGTAGAATTCATTTGAACAGATAGTTACTTCTATTGATTGAGAAATTCTTCAAACCGGTCTATAGCCTTAGTTGAATGAATTCTTCCCTAGTGTGATTTGTACATATTTTGAGTTCTTTGTTTTATAGATGCTGGCTGGATATTCGATGACTTTTCAGATGTTACATATTGCTTGGATCGAAGAAAGTCACAGGTTCCAATGGAAATAGAAACTATATGCAGCATAGCTGTGAGCCTGAGAAATGAAACGATAGTTATATAGCTTGGTTTGTAAATTTGATATGAATTTCTAGAGAGGTAGGAATATGCTCTCTCTCTCTCTCTCTCTCTCTCTCAACATGAATCAAAGGGATCTTTTATACTCAAATTACTCTTTATTGTCCTGTTTAAATTCATTTTCAAACTTAATAGCATGTAAAAATTTCAAAATACGTTTAGTCTAAACAACTAATAATTCAACGAGGCAAAATAATTTAGGGACAAAAGAAAGATCTATTTGCTTCCGCTTTTATTGTTTAAAATTGAGTTGAAACCACAACAGTGATGATTGACAATCAGGGTTTAGATCATCTCCTGTTCCCTGCTATATTCTAACGCTGTTTAGATCTTGTATTCGTAAAGAAATAAAAATAAAAATGACGACTATTTTTCACCCAACATTGTCATTAAGCTTTTGCAGGTGGTAAATACTCAGAATTTTATTTAATTAAAAATTACAGTGACAATCACTACTATACAATCAGTGTGTTGGGGGGGATGCCTAATTCAGGTTGAATTTTACCATTCACAACCTCTTCAATATTTGGCAGACATTGTTTACTTGAGTTTTCACCACTTATTTTTTGATTTTTTTTTTAAAAATTTTGGAAAATTCAAAAGTAATTTGACATAAACAAACACCAAAAAACATATATTTTCAAATTTTAGAAAACAAATTCTGCCCAAAAAAGGTAACCATGTGCAAGTTTTGAATTTTTTCCGGAAAACGAATTCTTAAAACTCCACCAAACAGTAAAATCGCAATCTGATGCCAATTTAACAACATGAATACGGCTGGAAATAAGAATTGACAACATAAGAAAGACAACATATTATGTAAACACAACCCAAAATCTCAAACAAGCAAGAATAAAAACCACCCCAAGGGTTCTCATAGCTTTACAAAATCAAAATAATCACATTGTCAATCAGCGATAACTTTACCTCATCAAATCCAACCACGTCACCAAACTAGCTGTGAAAACTTCAATAGCTACGGAAAAATTTAAAGCAAAAATGAATGATCTCTCTCTCTCTCTCTCCCGCTCATATACATAAAACTATTTACATATTTGCTTTCCCTCCACAATTCTACAATTACAAATCAAATGGAATTTGTTTTTCCTTTCAAATCAAACGAGAAACATACTGAAGTAGCTTTGGCAATTCCTTTGATCTCCGCTTACATCCAAAGGGTCTAAATTTTGCAAGGCAACTTGGGATTGGGATGATGTTTGAAGGATATACTTTCAAACCTTTACAAATCCTCCTTTGGGCTAGAATTACAACACCATGTCAGTGAAGTTTGAAGGCAGCTTCAACAACGATACTTGCAGTCACAGGAAGCTCTAATAAGACAATTGAGGAGATGGCAAGAACATGAACCAATTAAGCAAACATGCATTGCTTCCAAAATTCAAGCATCACCAACTCCTTAAATTTGGGCTCGGTTTGAGGTTGATCCATGGATTTCCATTTTCCTCTGGAAATAGTACAGTTAAGACGCATGGCTCGTAAACTTGCAGCACTCAAATTAGCTATAACACCCTTGAGAAAAAAATTTACATGTACTGAGCCAACCATTGCTTGCACATATCAAGCACAGGGAGTGCATTAGCATGTAATGCCTGCAAAAAATCATTACATAATTTGTTAGTCAAATTTGACAGCATACCAAGAAAATATAAATAAAATAAAATCTGGTAGCATGATAATTGTATTGTTTTGTTCAGTCCAAAAGAATCTAGAAAACCTAGCCTTAATTATGAGAGAAAAATAATATTTACCCGGCTCTGTTTGATTAGAAAGAAAAATTTGTGGAATGTGAAAGTGAGAAAATGAAGTGAAAGAAAAGATAGAAAATATATTTTCTTGCACGCATTTGATTATGATGAATATTTTGCAAGAAAAATATAGAAAACTTTGAAATGATAGTTATAGATAATTCTTTATATAGACACATTCAAATTTTATTGTGTTTTGTGCAGGAAATTAAATAGTTAGTAATAATGCTAATACGGGTTGTATAAGAAAATTAACCTTCTTCTAATTTCCACCACATTCATGCTAAGCAAACTCATAAAAAGTTATATTTTTTTCTCTTTATGTTATGCTAGTTTTCCCTCACTTTCATCCTAAACAAACTCAGCCCAAGTGAAAAATGCAAATACTTTCTAATCCTTGATTTTAGTTAACTGCCCCAAAACAGTTAAGTTTAGACACATCTCTGATGTGTTTTTGTAAAAGAAATTGTGGGAAATTATCCCACTTAAAACCTTGGTTGGCTATGTAAGGTGCATGTCTGTTGTTAACCAGTAAACACACAAGTATATCCTTACTCGAGAGCAATGGATCTAGATTCGTAATAAATTCATCTAAATAACACCAGAAGGCATGAGGTTCTTGTTCTGTGAATAAATTATCTACAACACAGAACATGCACCCACTAGATTAATAATATTGGCTTGGTGTGTTAATGCAATAAACATATCTTAATTCATCGTAATAAATTCATCTAAATAACACCAGAAGGCATGAGGCTCTTGTTCAGTGAATAAATTATCTACAACACAGAACATGCACCCACTAGATTAATAATATTGGCTTGGTATGTTAATGCAACAAACATATCTTAACTCCTCTTTGTCTCGTAACAAAAGAAAAGACGAACAAGCTAGTCAAACCAAATACAATGTGACCTTTCTGAAGAGGGGAAAACAGTGCAGTCCATTATGATCTTTTTTTCTTCTTTTTGAAGTACAACCACTCATCATACTCCATCTGTCCCACAAAGTGAGTTCATTCTATATTTGTTTCTCATGGAAAGTGTTGATAAATAAATGTCAGTGTCATTGAATGCATTGAATACCCTAAAAAAATAGGCTTAGGGAGTATTACATTCAGAGTGTCACCATGTTGGCTTTGAGTGTGAGTAGTAAAACCTTGTGCTCCAAAAACTAATTCTGGTCAAGCATCATCTGGCTAGAATATATTTAAATTTCCAATGCCTAAGCTTTATCTACAGACTATATGAGTTGCTAACTTGAGTGTGTCATTAAATCCTTGCGGTTAACATCAGGATCAAGCCCTTGCAAGCCTTGAGCCAAGTAACATGGGACCCATAATCAAGATTGTCCATGGAATAGTATTACATTGTAAGCTCTTTTGCAAACTTCCTAAGTGTTTCCATATATTTTACCCTCAATAGTATCTGTTTTGAAATGCTTATTTTTTTATTTGATGCATACTTTTTATGATCGAACTCCTACAAGGGAATCAAATTTTGCATCAATGGATTATCTGAAAATGAACACAAATAAAAATGGTTTTCAATATAAGGTTCTCATCAGATGGCCAGTTACTGAGAATAACTGGTTAATAGATTCTTAAAAGAGGAATATAATTTGAGAGAAAAAACACCTGATGTGCAACATATTGAACGTCCGCCACACTTCCACTTCGTGAAGCAATTTGGAAGGCACTTTTAAGACGACCACAGACCACACAAGCCAGCACCTTCCTGCAAATATATACATATATATATATTTTTTTAAATATTGAATACAAGAAAGCATTTAGATATTGCACAGTAATTTACAAAACAAGGAAAAAAATGAAAAAAAGAGCCAACTAATAAATATGGACATAAGGAAATACTTACCACTTGGAGGAGCTCGGCTGGGGCATAATATACGGAAAGCTTCTAGTTTTAATGTGGATTGCATGGGTAGAGAGGAATTGTAGAAATTTTGATGGATGAGAGCCAATTTTTAGATTAAAAAGTAAATTATTGTCTTTTTGTACAGTTTATCAGCCCTTGGACCAATTTTCAGATTTTGTAGAGACCATTGAATAGGTTTTTGATGTAAAGGTGTTTCTTATCTTTTCGTACATGGGTGGACCCTGGTGCTCTTTAATACACTTACTTTTACTAACTAAAAAAGAAAAAGGGTCGGGAAGTGATTTGAAAGGGGCATAGCTTATCACATACAAGTACACTTGAATAGATTTGGCACAGGCTAAAGCATAAGCCCTTTGTTTATAGAAATTAATTAATTCATCTAAGGCCATAAGCTGGACCTCTAATAAGTTGCGGGGTCAATTGAGACTAGTTTACATCACTACGGAGATACTGAATCACGTTGGAGAAACATAACTTTAAAATGTTGTTCAACTAAACATTGTGGAGGTTAATCTGTTATTGAACCAATTTTTAGATTTAGCAAAGGATTTTGAATAGGTTTTTGCTGTATAGCACACTTATAGATCTTATTCTGTATATGAGTTAGGCACCCCTTTGGGCCTTTTCTTTAATAAAATCTTACTTACCAAAAAAGAATTTCGACTAAAAATTGCAGAGTATGACACTACCAACTATTGGGATGAAATTAGCAGAAGAGAAAAAGTTCTTTTCAGATATTCTAAGGATTCAATACCATCTTTGTTCAGGATTTATGCTCATATCTGATGAGAAGAATGAGGCCAGGATGCTATGTTGCAACCTACTTAGTTTAGTGTGACTTCTAAAGCAGCTTTATTTACGGTAGGCAACAGCATGATGGCAGTGAAAATAAAACTGGTAAAAAAGTTCAATTGGTAAGGCAAGATGATATTGGAGATAAGATAGTTCATTCAAATCCATAGTGTTAATTTCTTAAAAAATTGTTCGACAATTATAATCCATCATATTACAGTTCTGTCTTTCAAATAACAAAACCACATGACTACATGAGAAAAAGGTTCTAAGAAGAAATGACAACAATCTAGTTATTTACAAGAAATCATCTGACCAGGGCAACGTATCAGCGATAGAGTAGTATTCCACTTAATCACAACAACTAACCCATAGGCAAAAACCATGGTACCTCAGTTATATTGAAAGAATATCATTCAGGTTTCGTGAAACAATCAGATATTGACATTTAGAATTTATGAACCAATCAAGCACTAATGGATTTTGCCCTCATTTTTGTCAAATTAACAAACACTTATAAATGGGAGCATTACCTGTGGCTACTAGTTAACATGTCTATCAGACGGTCTGGTCTTTCTTTGTGTTTGTTAGCATAAACGGTAATTGCAGCCCCCAAAACCTACAAGAAGCCACAAAACAAGCATTTCAAATAAATTTAAGTATTACAATTGTTGGGCTAGAAGACATCAAAAAATTGGCAATTGACGCAAGGCTTCACTAACTTCAGTAATTCCTAAGTTCGTATGCTCTAACCAATTGCGAAGGTACATCTCCAATAAACTTAAAATTCCCAAAATCCAAAAGTCTTACATTCCGCCCACCCCATTTTGTGTACACTCGCCATTTTTGGAAATCCCATTTTATATAACCTAGTTTGAAAGTCAAAAAACTTTTCACCATCACTTTCCCTCATTACTATTCTTTAAATTTATATTTAAATACAAACCAAACCAAACCAAGCCTTATGTCCCATCAAATGGGGTCGGCTACATGAATCCTTCTTCTCTACGCAGCTCTATCATTCAGAGATGCTTTCTGAATGATAAAAATAAATAAAATTCATACAAGAAACGACATTTTTGTAAATTTATCATTCAGAGATGCTTTCTTTAAAGAGTAATTCTATTCGCACACTATACTTTATCTCAGTACACACCATTTGTGTTGTTCGAATATCAACTTTCGAACAAAAACAAAATGTTCGAATATCAACTTCTGAACAAAAATCCAATTCCATAGTTGATATCCAAACATTTGTATTTTGTTTGGAAGTAGATATTCGAACATTTTTATTTTGTTTAGATATCCGAATGGCACAAATGGTGAGTACTGAGACAAAGTGTGGTGTGCAAATAGAATCACCCTTCTTTAAAGTTTGTGAATAGTCAACTGGGACACAAACTAAACCTCAAGGGGTTGGACTAGTGGGCACAACTCGGGCCTGGGGGTGTGCTCCCTCCCGATCTCAGGTTCAATCCTCACTAGCCTCAATAAACTCTTGGGGTCAGTCCATACAGGACGTTTGCTTTGACTTTAAATGGGGCCCCCAAGATTGGTCCCTTTTAAAAAATAAAATAAATATAAAAAAACTAGGACACAAACTAGGACAAGGAATGCCTACTGATAAAACCCAAGGCAAGAAGCTTCGGTTCATGCTTTTCTCATTGCTTAATACCCATCTGGCAGTTTCAAAAGTGCGTTTAAATCAAAATACCTGGTCCCAATCATCATCATCAATTGTGCCTTTAATGTTTCTGAAAAACTCTGTCAGCTGGCCTCCTCTTTTCCTTTCAGCAAGTGATGCAGCAACACCAGCATATATATCAACAGCTGAAAAATGAGTCAGAAGCTTGAAATGTAAATTTCACAAAAATAAATTAGGTCCAAACCTAATGTGCTATAGGACAGAAATAGAAGATTAAATAAATAAATAAATCATAATAGAATGGTTACCAGGAAGATCAAACTCGTAGATCAGTTGGAATGCCAGGTCAAAATTCTTCTCAGCAAGAGTCTCCGCAATCTTACACCTTCTCCTGCATTGCAACAAATTAAGCATTTGCAATATCAAATTAATGCATTTCTCAAATGTACATGTCCTCAAATGTACATGTCACAAGAAAATAAGTCCGGAACCAGTATAACATGCTGCTACCAATCCATTAGTGGGTAGGACCTTTAACAGGTCCATAACATTTAACAGAGAGTAACAATTATTTGAGAATTAAAAAATAAATAAAATCATGAATATTTCCTCTTATGAGAACATAAGCAGACAGTACATCAAGGCTGAAGGCCAATTGGCATATGGTAAGAATCGTGTTTACTGTCATAACACAAGAAACATGTCAAAAAGCTAATTAAAAAAAACTAATGAAGTAGTTCTGCTCAAGAGCTTGCTTTTCATTGCTAGCTTGCTTCCTTCTAGTGTGTTGGATTACAGCCAGCTGTCATCCGTGCAACCATTGTTCAATAGCAGGTATTACAGTTTGTGGAAAGTGGTCAGTAAGTTTCTTCCATTTCAGGCTTGGGAGAAGGCATCTTTCTCAAATACCTTTGAACTTATGGAAATTCTGTTATATATGCACCATGAAATGCTCCTCTTTTCTTTTCTTTTCTTTTCTTTGTCTTTTTTCCTTTTTGTGTGCTGGTACTATGCAACGTCTTGAACTACTTTTGAATTATAAGCTTGCTAAGCTGTCACAAGGAAATATTGTTTATGGAAGGCTCTGGATTGTGTTCGGTTTTCCATGATTGGTGTACATATGAGGCTATGCCCTCCATTGGACATGCGCATAAGTCTCATAAGGTGGGAACAACAATCCTATTTTGATTTCCTGTTCTTGCCATGATGGCTCATGCTTAAACTTTATAGTCAGCTACAAGTTTCAAATGTCAAAAAGAAAACAGAAAAAAAGAAAGAATCAGAAAGGCACAAACCTGAAGGTTTCGGTGTCATTTGGATTTCCAAAGAGAGAATACTTCCACTGTGGGCCATCTGTATCATTAAATGATCTCACAACATCCACCTACAGTATTTAAGAAAATCCTTAGGAAGCATGCAAAAACATCAGACTCAGATTAACATGATAATGAAAATAATGGACTTTGAATTAACAAAAGATGCATGCCGTTTGGATTGGCTACATAAGAGACTCTGCACTATTCATTCTACAAGACCTGCAAATCATGTTTTGATGAGATCATTGATAATCCAAATGCAACCATCTTTTAGCTCTCATGAGGTAATTTGGCATGCATGTGTGCCTCTTATAGTTAAAATATTTACCTCGCCTGTGGCTTACAGGAAGCTTATTACCAATACATGTTTCAAAACAGAAGACCTAATTTCCATTTACTCCCTTAGTGGTGTGTAATTTGCAAGGGCAATGAGGAGAGCATTGATCACTTATTCTTGCATTGTTCGGTAGCTAGGCTCTATGGTACAAACTATTTTGGTTGGTGGAGGACAATTGTGTGGCTCCTTCTACTTGTCCTTAGATGTTTTTAATCCATGATAGGGGCTTTGGATACAATAAGACGTCCCGGGATCTATGATTTTGCATAATTTATGTTTTGTTTTGGATGATTTGATTATGTAAGAATTTTATAGAATAAATATGAAGATTTAGAAGGTCTATGGGATACAGTGTATTATTTGTCTTCCTTTTGGATTTCAATTTCCCCTCCCCTTCATTCAAGGGGATCACATCGCAGTGTTTTTTATTTCTAGAGATTGTAAAGCGGTTTGCAACATGGAATTTTTTATATTTCTTTTTATGGTGACTTCTTGTGCCCTGTAGTACATTATTGTTTCTGTCCATTTTCTTCAATAAAATTTCATTTCTGTTGCTGATAAAAAATAAAATAAAAATGACAATACCATCCTTATTGGGTTTTGCAGACTTTTGTCAAATTCAGATTGCATGGCCAGTCTAAGAGTTCTTGCATAGTATCACAGGCTGACTCCTTTAGAGGCGCAACGGAACAATTGGAACAATTTTTCGCCCGTGTGGCGCTCAAACCCCACAAAGTTTAAGCCCGCCATAACTCATTGACAAATCGAGTGTTGATGATCCTGTTTGAACATTTGAGCCCAATGCTTTGTCAAGTAGAACAACTCCCATAGGAAGCTCTATCTTCACCCGAATGCCACAAGTAGGCCGGACGCCTCAAGTGCACCAAGCACGGCACAAGTCGCTTCATAGCACCAAGCTTATCTCAAGCAAGGTGCTCACCCAACTTAAGTTCACGTCATCAAGGTGCCTAGCCACACAACAATGTGCTAGCGAACGCCCTCAACTTGGCTGACAAGCCAACATGGCATGTTGGGTCTTTGATAGAATCTTGAAGTGTTACAGGGTCAAGCATGCTTCGATCATTGCATATCGTATAGCCACATGGTCATGCAAAGCCCACAAGACACTGAAGGTCAATAACTTGCCCACGGCATAGTCCTTGTGCCAACACGTGTTAGATTCCGCCTAAGGCCATTGCGCACCTTAGCGTTGCACCAATATGTAACCCAAGTAAGGCAACGTCACAATCCATAGCTCACTTGTAGCATAATGTCATCCCTCAATGGATTTATTTATTGTATAGTTTGATGCCTTTATTCGATGGCCCACATATACGGCATTGCCTTCCAACCGTTTAGCTTAAGCCACGGGATCCCCACATGCAAGGTTGAACCCAAACCAAGCACTTAAGTTGGCACATGAGGCCTTTGGTGGTGTCTCTCGATAGCCCATTCGGTCTAGAACCACCCCCAAGATGCCATAACGCGTGGCATAATGGAAGCAACGTCCCAAATCTCGCACCCGGTAGGCACGCGCAGTGCTTACATTTTTGCACTGTCCACAAGGCTCCCAAACCCGTGTGGAGACTCTAGACACTCCTCTAGATGCCTAAAGCCTACCCTTGAGCTGCCTTAAAGTTGCTCACTTCCAGCCCAGTTTGCGCAGAGAGGCAGGTAGATAGCACGCCATGCCCCCTTATATATGCTTCTTAAGCCTTTGACAAACTAGCTAGAGGAAACATACCCTATGCTCGAGGAGTCATAATGATTTTTCAAAAATTCCACAAATTGAGAAAAATCACCCAACTTGATCGGGAAAACACTCACCCCAAGACCTAAGTCCAGTAAAAATTTCAGCCCAAAACTCCTTCGTTTGGACCCTCAAACAAAGCCCCAAAAATCTACCTTGATGGCTTGCTGCTGCTGGGCCATGGCCTGGGCTGCGGGCGGGTGGCTGGCATGCGCACATGGCATTTGTGTGCAGGCTGCAGGCAGTGGCTGCTTGGGGCCACGTTTAAGGCACCAAACCACTGACTTGGAATCTCGATGTCCATCATCTAGGCACTCTTGTGCACTAAAATTGTCACACCACCACATGCAAAACATCACGGAGTTGACCTTGCAAAGCAACCCATGGAACATAGCCATGGAAATTTAGAGAGCTACAATAAAAAAAGGTAGTACACCCAGAGCCATAGCCCAAAAATGTACAGGTTACTGCATATCAGGTTATTGCATGACACATTTCAAACGGTAAACAAAATGCAAAAGAAGTATCATAATAATTTTTCTTAAATTCTAAACCCACTGGTGAAAGAAAATTCAGTAAACACACCAACAAAGGCAAATGCAAAGGCGCACTTTTTATGCGCAGTGCAGGTACACTTTTTTTTTTCTTTACAAGTTAGGAAGTATAGTTCCAAACAATTTTGATGCTCTTTGCCTTATCACACTGTCAAGAGGGGTACTCCTTAATTAAGGAACCCCGCAGTTTTTTTGGTATGCTTTCAGCTCACAGAAAACAAAATATTTTCTAAATCTATCTTTGCAAATACTACATAAATTGATCACCTGGATTGCAATCCGAGCCGAAAACTTGACGAGTCCTTCTTCCGAAAGCTTTTCTGAGGGACTTTTTCCTCGTATGCCCTTAGGGACAAGCTTAGTAGAATCTCCTGCTTTGTATCGTGCTGACAACCCTTCATCAAAATGCATCTACACCAAATGAAACATAATTACAAGGAAAAGAATTAATACAAGTCCAAAAACCTTCAAAGTTAGATTTGCCCCAAAAATAATACAAATATGATTATTTTATGACGTCAGCATCGAGGTGCTTTTCTGGAACAAAAAAATTTCAAAAAACTATCTAAATTATTAAAAAGCAACTAAGATGTTGGTGCCAGGTTGGACCTTCTACGCGTCAAATTTCCAAACAGCTTAAGCTTTCTTCTGTGAACCCTTAAATTTAGTATTTCTCTGGTTAACTTTTGGGGACCTTTTGCTATCGTGTATTATAAATAGAAGTATACAGCATAAAGCCCATTTCAACTCTAAAGTTAAGGACTTACCTTGGCATTTTCCAAATGCTGTATAGCTTCCTCTTGCAAAGAAGAGTTCATAAATAACTGAATACAGCAAAGGCCAGCTGCCACATGGTCCCTCTTGATCACCTGAACCATCAAGTCAGTTTTAAAATAATGACCTCATAGACAGAAAACAGAATAAGTGTGTCCAAGACAGTGGAACTGTAATACCAATGTTCACAATGAAAACAAAGATTCAAGAGAGAACAAAAAAAAAATCAAACAAGAAAAGAAAAATAAAGACAAGAGAACAGAAAGGGAAAAAACACACACACACACACACAAAACAAATAGTAATTTCAAGTGATAATTGTGGGCATACACAAAGGGAGATCTCTCTGCTCTTCACATTTCTCATTTGAAACCAATAACTGAAGGTGTAACCTCGCATGCAAGAGAGAGAGAGAGAGGGCAAGAGAAGGATTCCAACATAGGCCCTGTTTGGTAGAGCTGTGGGAAAGTGCTTATAGCTTATACCTTAACAGCTTATAGCTTATAACTATGAACATAAGCTGATTTCTGACTTATAAATTAAGCTTCTCCTGCCCCACTCAAAGAATAAGTTGATTTCTGACTTACAAAAAGCTATAAGCTGTATTGTTAAGCTAAACCAAACACATCAAAATAGCTTAAATTAAGCAGAAAGCCGAAATAAGCCGAAATTAAGCTGTACCAAACAGGGCCATAGTACCTGAAATTGGTGTAGATAATTGAAATGCCTATGGGATTCGCAATAGACACAAATGCGGGCAAGTGCTGCAGCCGTATATTGGTTAACTCCAACATCTTGTGGTGTTGCAGATGACATTCTTGTTGATAGTACTTCTTCTAAAACAGACATGGCACCATAACCAATGCACATGTCGCACAAATCATCAATGGTCCCATAATCAGTTGCTAACGGATCTGGTCTTTGAGGGGAAGATGAAGAAGTAACTACGCCGAGCGATGATGGTTGAGGAGGTGGAGGAACAGCATTTGGAGGAAAGAACAGAAGGCAAGCCTCCCTGTAGTGGCCATGCCGGAACATAAAACCAAGCAAATGCTGGCGGGTATACTGCAACAAAGAAATGCATACCGTTATAGACCCACAACCATGAAGATGCTAAAAAGACTTTTATCAACCACTGGACATTGTGGGGAATGGAGAAGCTATAACATGTTTATCAACTATTGGCCAGTGTAAGAACAGAATTTTACAACTACATACCAGCCAGTGCAGCAAGGATAAAGGTAGCAATTGCAAAATACTCAAAACATAAGAAAAAAAAATTGTAATACAAAATAACGATAAAATAAAAACCATGCAAGTCAAAAGAAAGCTATGAAAAACACATCACAGAAACACTCTAAATTATCAAACAATCTCTCTGGAATGCCCTCAGTTTTGGAGCAGAAAATTAACCACTTCAATCTCTCAAGAAAATAAAATTGTCTGTGCTTAACATTTGATGCCAGATCATGGTTTCAATTATATGATTGTTGACAAGGTGATTGCAAAAACATGAGACTTAAGAAGGCCTGCACTTGTGCTTCATGTGATGTATTGGAGGGAGAAGAATCACCTTACTTTTGAACAAGACTTCAACAATCCTTAATTAATATGTCCCATTGTTGACTTACAAGAAACCTTTCTGATTTGTCTTTTAGTCTTATAGATTTTACAAGAGATTTAAGTTTTGGTGAAGGGCTTTAGTTTTGTTTTGTATATTTCCTATGTACAGATGGTCGCTAGTTTGGCTCTTTTTTTTTTATAATTAATTTACTTAAAATATAAAAAGAACTTTACTTAAAATATAAAAAGAATGTTAAAAAGGTTCCTTTGACTTATAACAGAGAATACATTGACGACAAAAACGAAGTCATATGCATCACTTGTACAAGCTAGCTCAAACTACTTATATACGAAAAGATTGGTATGCTCAAAGCATGAAAACTGGATGAATTAATACACACACTGGTCAATGAAGAATCTGTCAAGATGCCTGGATGAAAGCAAAGTTCAAAGACAGCCCAGAGTAATGAGCATGTTAGGATAGATACAAAAAAGAGCTTACTTCTTGTAAATAGTTAACACATTCATTGTATCTAATGCTGTCCAGGTTGCTTCGAGGTCCACCTTCAAATTCTGAACTAGGCAAAGAATTATCAGTAGTTGATTCTTGGTATCGCCTGGATCTCTCCGAACGTGGAAATGTGGAAGGCATGTAAAGAACATTAAGATATGAATCAGCAGAGAGAGAATCATCCAAAATTGCTGGTGCACTTCTAGCCAAATGTTCATACCTGCAAGGTATGATGAATTAATCAGATAATATTCAACTGCAACTTAAGAGATTAAATTTTTTACTTGCACCATCAAAGACTGTAAGAACAGCATCTCAAATAGGCAATATCAAAAATAATTCAGCTACCCTAATGAGAATGAGGTTATGCCAAAAAACAAGTTTGACATCAATTATCCACAATGATTACGATAACAACAGTGTCACTGAATCAGTTTAAATTTATGCCAGATAGATCAACTAAGGAAACGATATTTACTAAGAAGGTTAAATATTACAAAAAAAAGGACACAGAGAAAAGGAGAGATCTATGTATGATTTTTATAGAATTAGAAAAAAATTATGATCGGATGCCTAGAGATAAGATGGTGGGTGTTGTGTAAAAAATGTGTCACCAAAGGGTATATTGACACAATAAAAGACGTGTTCGTGAGACAGTTGCATTATATTTTTTTAGATTGCTAGTATATTTTTAGTGTAAGGGTAGTTTCGTACTCATCTCGTTATTAGGATTCCAGTTGCTACTTAGTTTCAGTAAACTATATTAGTGTGTGATTTGTGAGATTAATAATAGATTTGATTTTCTTTTGTAACAGTATAATAGGGTGCTTGTAACTATAACTAGATGACCTGCATGAGAAACTACTGAATTTCCATTCACTATAGGGTTGCATCAAGGGTAAAATTTGAGTCCTTGCAAATTTCTCTCAGTCATAGATGAATTAACTAAACACATTCAGAATGATATCCCAAGGTGCATGTTGTTTGTAGAAGATATTGTTTAGAGGATGAAATTAAAGAAGGAATTAACACAAAATTAGAAATCTGAAGAAAAGTGTTCAACTCAGAAGGGTTTAAAATTAGTAAAAATAAAACCAAAAAAAAATGGAACGTAACTTTAGTGACACTAAAAGTTAAAATAATGTAGAAATGAAGATTGAAAATAAGGAGATAACAAATAATGAACATTTCCGTTACCTAGATTCCATTATTAATAAGGATAGTGAGGTTGGAGAGGATATGATCCATAGAATCAACATAGATTAGCTCAAGAGGAGTGTGTATTGCATATTATGTGATCAAAGAATACCAACACAATTGAAAGAAATTTTTTTATAGAATAGCTATAAGGCCAGTGATACTTTATGGGACAAAATGATAGGCAATTGAAAAACATGTTCATAAAATGATTGTAGCCGAGATGAAAATGCTTACATGGATGTGTGGTAAGACTAGGACATATAAAATTTGAAAAACAGTATAAGTAGCACTAATTGGAAATAAGTTGAGAGTAAGTTAAAATGGTTTGGTTATGTACAATGAAGCCTTGTAGATGCAACGGTAAAGAAGAGTAATATGATCACCAAAAATGGAAATCCTAGGGGGAGGGGAAGACTTAAATTGACATGGGATGAGGTTATAAAAAAAGGATATGAATTTTTATTTAATCTAAATGGAAAAAAAGGATTCGTATAGGATTTTTGCAGTCTACCTCACTGGATTAGGACACAACGCTTAGTTTAGTTTGGATTGGTTATATCCAGTCCATATAAACTATATTGCAAATAAACAAATAGGCAATGCTACATCTTCTTAAAGAGGTAACAAGTCACACCATAAAAGATCCACATTAATACGAAGGGGCCCAAACACCAGAGGCACCCACCATCAATATGTAGTTATGTGCAGAACTCCCAAGTCCTAACTTTGCAATAAGGAGTCTGAGGACTTGTATGAAGACTTCATCTTGTAATGCGATCGTCTCAGGTCGAGAGTGGCAAGAAAATAGTGAGATTTTCCTCTACCATAATTGTGGATAAAAAAAGAGATGCGGCTATATATGATCTGGATCAATAGGAACTCTGAAACTACAGAATCAATGACGTGTAAACAATTTGGTGACCAGACCAAACTCTGATCAAGTAAACTTGACTAGCAATGTTCATAGTGATGATGAGAGTACAGATGGGAGGATTCGTGACATCTATGTTCGGAAGTCACTTTCCTTGCTACACCCAGAGGAGGAAAGCTCTTTCCCAGCAGGCAAGTTGTTAGGCTCCCACCAAAACAATACACATACTCCCTAGGTTTGATTTGAAGCCAGTCAAAATCACGGGTGACAATAGCACATAAGAAATCTTAGTCGGGTTCTAGTGCAACAATATAAATGAGAAATATGAGTTGAAACTTGAACTTCGCCTTACATGGAACGAACAGCCGAAACATCAACAGGTTGACCTCCTTCGATTGTATTAATGATCTCCAGAATCACAGGTGCAGAATCACCCTTGTGCAATTGAAGAGCTTGCCTAGATAACATGAGAAAAGCAGTAAATAACGAAGCACACCGACTATTTCGGAACAATTAAAAGGTAAGAAATATTCTAGTGATTAGAGATGGATCTATCATTCTCTAATAATATTAAAGGGAAAATAAAAATGTAGCATACTTAAATTTCACACGAGCTTGTGCATAGTGCTCCATCCGAATCAACGCATGCCCCCATGCATTCCACACAGGAAAAACATCAATCTGAGAGAAGTCCCCAAAAAATAATCATTATCATATCGAAATGCAGAGAGAACAACTGAATACTAGAATATCTGCTTTCATTGCATACTTTACACTTTTTGCAAGTATATACAGCCATGCTGTACCGTTCTTCTAGAATCAACCGATCACGGAGATGTGCAGATGACTCTTGATCAGCAATATCATCGAGGGAAGCAGGGATTCCATATCCCAGAAGGCTTTGCAGCAGTTCAGCACGTCCCAACCAAATATCAGCTTGTGATAGAACTTCAGACAGCTCATCAGTGGACTGACTACCAACACTAGAGCTTCCGGCATCAGAGGATGCATCATCAGCATCCTTACCTCTTTCAGAATTACTTGACAAATCACTGCCCCCAGCAAGTTTTCTCAACAAGGATTTAGCAAAAAACAGTCCCTGTGCAAACAGCACCAGTAACATTATTGCAATACCCCACTGTCCCACATATGTCACCACCATACAAGAAATAGAATCAATGTGCACAACTCTATTTACTTTTCACTAGTGCACATTTCTCCATCAATATAAACCATGAAAAAGAAAGAACAAAAAGGAAAAACTGGATGCATACCTGTACAAATGTTTCTGTGGCATGATATGCACGACCAATGGTTTCCATAGATGCATTCTCAGGCAACTGCTGGGAGCTCAACACACTTCTCATCTGATTAATGCACAAATCCAGAGCACCTTTGGCAGACACCAACTCATCAGAACACAATGAAAGCAGTGCCTAGAACCAGAGGAGGCAAGCCTTCAGCATAATAACAGTGGCAACCATAAAACATAGTAACTAAATGCAAGATAGACTAATATTCTGATAAGCACAAACTGCAACTACAAATTCAACCAATAAACAAACTATATTTCAAGTTCTAGTGAGTGGAAAAAACTGTAGAAATAATAGAAACCATTATGGCATAGTATGCACTGCAACAACTGCAAATCACTTATTTTGAAACCAATTACTTTTTCCACAAAAATATGTTGACAAGATTCTCCAAATTCTCTCAAGGCTAACCCACTTCTAGTAGAATTATTAATCAAAGAGGGAAAATCATCCTAAAAAATATGCAAAAGGATTGGTCTACAAGACACAAGAATCAGGCCTTCTAATCTCTTATCAAGGCCAGTTTATTTCCTCGTAATACTTGCTCCCATATCTCTTGAATCATCTATCAAAAAGATTTTGACACGGTTACACCATATAGAAATACAACCCAACATTGCGAATAATACCACGATTAGTTTCACATCATTGTAATTAATTTCCCTATATTGTCAAAGATATTAAATAAATAACATGGCTCTAGTTAAAGAACAAAATGTCATAAATTTTGAAGAATTTTTTTTTTCCTTCGAAAAAAGAAGAAAAATAAAAGAAATGATATTTTATAAAACAAAAACAATCACTTACAAGAAGCTGCTTTGACCGCAGGTTAGGCAACAGCTGCATTGCACCCATGGCAACTGGGAGAGCATCATCAGTGTCACGTAGGGAAGAAAGAAAACGTGAAGCTTCAGCTGGACCTCCACCATTTAGAGGGTCTGCTATAAGAAGTTTCACAAGTTGACGCCCTCTCAGTTCTCTCCGCAAATCAATAGATAATCCTGCACTTTCAGCCAATTCTAAGGCAGCAGAAACAGCTCCTTTGCCAGCCAATCGAAGGGCAAGACCCTCAGGATCTTCCTTACACTCTGCTTCAACCTGACAATTCCATCAGAATGGAGAGTATAGTATAGTAAGACATAGAGATTAAGTATGCAAAATGAAAACATTTAACTAACAACAGCCCAAATTTGCAGTAGACCAGCATCTAGTAGCAGCCCGCTTCACAACAAAATTCTGTAGCAGCACACCGACAGCAGCAGCAGCAGACCAGTGGATAAAGCCAACTGCAGAAGAATAAATAGTTTTTATAATATCAAGCACACGATGATTTGAGACTTAAAATTTGCACATAAGCATCATAATTTTTCCTAATAACACTCCACAGCTTTATCAAGGTTGTCACAGTCTTTGTATATCACTCCTAAATTGTTGCATGTCTCTGCACAATGAGGATTGAAGTGGAAAGCAAGTTCATAAAACACAATTGCCTGCACAGATATTAAATAAATAACATGGCTCTAGTTAAAGAACAAAATGTCATAAATTTCGAAGCAATTTTTTTTTTTCCTTCAAAAAAAGTAGAAAAATAAAAGAAATGATATTTTATAAAACAAAAACAATCACTCACAAGAAGCTGCTTTGACCGCAGGTTAGGCAACAGCTGCATTGCACCCATGGCAACTGGGAGAGCATCATCAGTGTCACGTAGGGAAGAAAGAAAACGTGAAGCTTCAGCTGGACCTCCACCATTCAGAGGGTCTGCTATAAGAAGTTTCACGAGTTGACGCCCTTTCAGTTCTCTCCGCAAATCAATAGATAATCCTGCGCTTTCAGCCACTTCTAAGGCAGCAGAAACAGCTCCTTTGCCAGCCAATCGAAGGGCAAGACCCTCAGGATCTTCCTTACACTCTGCTTCAACCTGACAATTCCATCAGAATGGAGAGTACAGTATAGTAAGACAGAGATTAAGTATGGAACTTATAATTCCTCAACCAGAAAGCTCCAGATGATATGTTCTTTTATGTTTTTATCCAATCAGAACTTATAGAGAATAAATTGTCACCTCTTGCCAGCTGCAGTAATGATCATCCGCAGATAAAATGTGCTTGTATCTCAAGAGATCTTGTCTCATTTGAACAACCTGATAGCCCAAAGAAATATGAAGTAAACATAAGAAGTAAACATAACCAACAATGCAACCATCTAAAATAAAAGCACATATTGTTGTCCCATGCAGCTTCAGCAAGAACCATCAACACAACAAATTCCAGCATCAGATATGAACTCGCTGTGTTTGGATCATAGATTTGGCTAGAGATTTGGAAAGGGAAAAAGAAAAGGTGGGTAAAATGCGAATAAAATATAGTTCACCCCACTTTTTTCCTTTCCCTTTCCAAATCCAAGATCCAAACACAGTCTCTAATGCAAAAAATCATAAACAATACCAGTATACCACCAGGTACCTCATTCTTAACTGGATCGCCTTCAGGCAAGTGGCAGCTGCACATAGTGATAACATCCAGAGCAGCATCCAGTTCCCATCTGTGCAAATATCTGCAACAGAAACGAATACAGCCATAAGAAAATGTCTACCGATGCAAAACACAACAAAGGTCTATCATAATCACTCCCTTGAGTACGTATAGGAAAATGTAGAGAATATTAGTCTTTAAAGGTCATCAAAAGACGAAATTTTTCATCCCCATCAAACATCTCCCGAAAGGCTCAATTTTGAAATAAAAGATGTTACTTCCAAAAGAAGGATATACAAGATATCAAAGGCACCCCACAAATAAGGAAACAGAGCTATCCTACCCATAAAATAGATTGCATTCAGAAACATCGGATCATCAGACTTAAATATCAACAAGTATTCATAAATGGTGGAGAACCTATATTTTTACATACTTGAGTGCAAGTCTAGCTGCCAGCTGTTTATCCTTCAATCTCAGACAATACTGCCAACTATTGCTCCACATGCTATGAACTGCATACCCTTGAGATTGTCCCGAGACAGAATTATTTTCCTCCCCACGTTCAATGAGTAACTGAAGTAACTGGTCAGATGCTCCATTACGTAAAAAACGATCAGAAAGAGCAAGAGCATCCATCAGTTTTCCTTCATTAATTAATCTGTTTGACAATATAATCTATTAAGTTAATGTACATTGATTTTCACAGATAGTAATATGACCAGAAGGACTTCTCCACAAGTAGACGTAAAAATAAAAATAAAGAAGAAAAAAATAAAGATGGCATGACAAAAAGAAATAGAATGAAACAACTTCAGAAAGCAACTGAGGTCAGAAAGATTAATAAATTCAATTGAAGCATTCACCAGGCTCTCATGCTAAAGCATAGAAGTCATTGGCCTACTAACAAGCCATAATTACTTTGGAGGCCTATCATGATGGAAGAATCATTTGGACAGGATCTTGTGAGTTTCGTGAATTATCCAGCTCGTTTGAAAGAAGCAGGCAGTTGTCAATTAGCACAAGTGATGGCCATATTCCTTGACAATAGCACTGACCTTCTTGAAAAATAAAAGGTATTCAGAATCAAGAGGACATTTAACCATAGAGGCGGGCTGCCTCCTTATTCTTAAATAATTATATGTTAGAATTTACCACTCACCTACTACCTCCACTATCTTTCTCCACACCTACCACCTCCACTATACCACTCACCTACTACCTCCACTATTTTTCTCCACACCTACCACCTCCACTATCACACACTCCACTACCATCTTCTCCTCTATATATAGGAATTGTAATATACAGAAATTATTAATCTTGTAAACAATCAATAAATAATACATCTATTTTTACATGGTATCAGAGCAATAAGATTTAGGCCTATACTTTTTTTTTCCGGCGGGCAGCCGGTCGGCAACCTTGCCTTCGCTGCCCGCTGGAATTTTTCTACACATACCTTGAAATTTCCCTTCTTCAACCTGCTATGCATACACTAGCTCTTTTCTCTTCTCCACTGTCCATCCATCCAATATAATGCGACTGTTCATCTCCTTCTCCATCTCCAGAGCTCTCTTCTTCTTCAACAACCCCATTAGGTCATTTTCCTCCATGGCCACCACCCTATCCTCCGTCACCGCCTCCCTCAGCCCTAAGTCCCGGCTGAGAGGTGTCGTATTCGCCATGGACGGAACCCTAACTGTCCCAGCCATCGATTTCCAGGCAATGTACAGAGCCGTCCTCGGCGAACAAGATTACTTAGCTATCAAATCCAAGTGCCCTTCGGGAATCGACATATTGCATCACGTTGAGAATTGGAGCCCCGATAAGCAACACACTGCTTACGAAACTATCGCCGATTTCGAGCGCCAGGGTCTCGATCGCCTCCAGATTATGCCCGGTGCATTAGAACTTTGTGGTTTTCTTGATTCAAGGAATATTAGAAGGGGATTAATCACTAGGAATGTCAAGGCAGCAGTTGATTTGTTTCACTCGAGGTTTGGGCATCATCTTTGGCATCTGTCTCATTGGGTGAGACTTCCCCGGCAAGATCGGTTGCCTCTGGGGACTCTTAGAACTTGATGAATGGGTTTCACCTCAAATTGAACCAACGACGACCTCGACTCCCTCATCTCCGTCACCACCGATGAGGACCTTCACAATCTTCTTCCGCTCTCTCTTTAGTTGAAAGAGAAGAACCACCAAACAAAACAGGGGGCTGTTTTTTTTCAATTGACCACAGATTCCTCTCATCTCTCTTTCACTCTCTCTCACTCACATGCGGGACACAGAGTTTCCCTCTCTCCCCTTCTCTCTCCCATGTGACCCACTCTCTCACTTATCCTTTTTCTTTCTTTTCCTTTGTTTTATATTTATTTTACTCTATTTTTTTTTGAAAAGCAACCGACACCTATTTTTATCCATTATTTTATTTTTCTTTTATTTTTATTCTTAACCACCTTCTGCTATCAAAGCTGTTTCCCATTTCTTCACTATACAAGTTGTATTTCTTTATTACAAAAAAAAAAAAAAAAAAAAAAAAAAAAACAAAAAAAATGCATATGTCATGTATCATTATAAATAATGCATATGTCATGTATCATTATAAACATGCATATGTCATGCATCATTGTAAATAGTGCATATGTCACGCATGCCACTGTAAATAATGCATATGTCATGCATCTTACTGTAAATATTGCATTTACGCCCATCCATTGCATATTTTAGATATTGCATTGTAGCTTGCATGCATTCACTGCATCACTTCCATCTAAGGCTTGCGCCTTTCCATGTTAAGCTTGGTCTGGTATGTGCCCATACTTTTCACGTCTATACACTCATAGTTCTGTATGACCGTTCTATGTTAGACATGACTTGTTCGTGTCCATGCCTTTCCTAGGCAAGATACGGCTTGGCCGTAGGCCTTAATCCACTATATCCATTCCATTGCATACTTATATATTGCAATCTTTGTATTAGGAAATTCCTAGCAGCTTCAATTTCATCTTCAAGAGCTTTCCTACTTATTTCAAGTCATTTATAAGGGTCCCTTATATTGATTCTGGGAAATATAACTGCACTTAACAAAACAATTACAGAGAATTTCATAAATTCAAGATTGCACAAATACTGTAATACCTAGCATGCTTCAATAGAAAACCAAATGCGGGGCAATAATGTAGATAACGAGTAATAAAGTTTGACATACAAACAGTATACACCAATAGATAAGGAAATCAAGATTTGTGCAAATGCAAATAACATAAAACATTATCCCTTTTTTTTCTTGGTAAATTACCCAAAAAGAGGGGTAGCTAATGATTGGATGCCCTATTTTAACTTTGCTTGAGTTCTATTTGGTTTTAAAATTAGTGGAACTCTAAACATATAAATACTTTAGAAGAAAAAAATCTACTAAATATTAAGACAATTTGTTTAAGGTGGACATGTCTGGATCTAATTTTGCCAGTTGTATTAGAGGCATATAACATTTCAATGGACGTGCTAGATGTCTAACGAAGAATCTGCTAAATATTATGACAATTTGTATTTGTTCCTTATTCATCTTTTCTTTTATTCTCTACATGATGTGTGCATGTGTGCGAGTGTCTCATAGAGAAAGAGAGAGTGACTACTACAAACTTCTCTCCATTATTTTGGTCCTTCACTTACTCTCAATCCATGCTTGCAAAGAGATTATCTTCTTACAGAACTACTAGAAAAGCTTTCCAGTTAAAAGGATAGAGAATAACAACATTAAATGACACAAAAAAATCTAAGATAGGTCAGAATTCTTGAATTACAGCCACTGCTAAGCCAGCTTAATCTGGCTAGAAAAGGTAATTTTGTTCAAGTTATTGGTGCACAATTTTGTATGCTGATTGTTAGTATTGACCAAGCTAGGCTCTTCTGCCAGTAGCAGGAGCAAACATAAAGAGAACAACTAAAATACAAAAAGATGTCTCTGTGTCTTTTGTTATTTTGCATCATCTTAACTATTCATACAAAGAGACACAAGTGCTGCTAAACTTGAAACAAATAGCTTCAGCTAGAAATTTCTAACATCCGAGAAATGCCAATCTATAAATCTCTTAAGATTCCTGATAAGGTGCTTTGGGCATCATTACCAAATCAAGATGACCATAAAGGAAGATCGTCAACTTAATGGTGAACACACATTTATTACATTCTGTGTTAGAATTTACCACTCACCTACTACCTCCACTATTTTTCTCCACACCTACCACCTCCACTATCACACACTCCACTACCATCTTCTCCTCTATATATAGGAATTGTAATATACAGAAATTATTAATCTTGTAAACAATCAATAAATAATACATCTATTTTTACATTATACTTATCAAATAAAAATCTTCAACTCTTTTACCTACCTAGTCATTTTCAATCCTTCAGGTCTGACTCCAAAACTGCACCTTGAGAACCAAGTAAATATTTTGAGCATCAAGTAAGAGCGATGCTAATAGAAGATAATTGAGACGCATTCCCATGATACAGTTGCTTTAAAATGGACTAGTCATTCCTATGGTAACATGAATTTAATCAACAAACAACTCTCTCATCATGCTTGTACGTGCATAGCTCCCTCATAGCATCGCTAGGAGAGAAAATCCGAGCCATTTATTGTGCTATCTTTGCAGTGTCTCTTTTAATCTTCATCATCAGATGTTTCATCTTAATTTTTATTTTTTCAGTTATATTAATTGTAGTAAAAATAAAAAAATAAACAAGCCCTTGGCAGACCATCTCCTACAATATGCACTATCAGATGACCCTAGCAGTGACTCTAGTTCACAAAGTAAACATGACCCAAAATTCGAGATGCAGGAAACAATAGCATTCATAAGAAATGTAACAAAAAATAAAGAAAAGCCATTACATAGAAAATCTAGAAAATAAATAATTGAAACTAACCATTGACAGTACATGAGAAATTGCTAGAACAAAGAAAAACCACATTACCGGTCAATTGCTTTTTCATAAGGCCCCTCATTCTCCCAATCAAAAGAAAAGAAAACCCTGGTATCAAACTCAGGAGCTTCAGATTTTGGGGACTCGTGCCAAGGGTCAGAAGCTGCATTCACCGGATTGTCAAGATCTGGAAAAGATGTCGATATGTTAGCACTAACAGCAATATCATCAACTTCTGACTCAGTATCACTATCATGTTCACGAAATCGCTTGATGGCAGTTTTTGACTCAGATTTAGCCATGCCATCCTCGGTTTCATGTTCAGCTGTTACAGCAAACTCTGAAACTCGATGAAGGTTGGTTTGCATTTGTATCCAACGGTTCAAAGTTGGGAACCTGTTTGTCAAATGGAAAGTAAATTACACAACAGCTAACCAAACCAGATAAAGCAATGTTTTACTTCTCTAACACATGTATGCTGAAAAAATACCTCTCAGATTGATCAAGAGCAAACTCGTAAAACAACCTGTCATCATCAGGTGTCTGCAATAATCCATCATTTAAGGAACTACAAATAGCTGAATCACTTCCGCGGCACAGTATACCACTTCCAAAAACACATGCTAAGACAGCCCTCACAGGAGATAGTTTAACAAGATGCTTGACAATATCCAGCTGGAGAGGGTACAGAGGGACTCCAAGAGGGATTCCATTTATGGATGAGGATCGACTGTAAGAACTAGGCTTAGCATCTCTAGAGGACGGGGTAAGTACTTTACTTTCTGGGAAACTCTTGGGAGACGTAGGAATCAATGGAATGCATGCCCAACCAAGTCCAGACCGCGGGGGGTAGACTGGAGGTACACATGCTGAAATTACTTCATGGACAAAATCAGCAAACATGATTTCTGCAACCTTTCCAGCTGCATCAGTGCTGCCTCGTTCAAAGACCAGCCGAGTCAAAAGCTGCAAGCCAGATGATAAAAACATGAACATAGTCATGACCATGTCAAAATGAGCATATATCATGAACCACATTCTAACACTTTTTCTACACTCACTTCCTACAAGACCCACTAAAACCTTTTCTGCAAGGTAGGATATTATTTCCATGATAAAATAAAAATAAAAATAAAAAAGGAGCACTGTGAAAGCAGATCCCCATTTTCAGGACACTAGTTGATAATATTAATGAAATCTGGGAGAAAATTAAATTGGTGACAACAAATTCTAAATACCAAATAAAAGGAAAGGCACTAAGCTTCTTGAAAGATAAGGTGTCAATCAAAATTAAATTATTTAAGTAGCATAATCAAGCCTATACTTCTTATTCTGTTGCGGTGAAACTTAAATCAATGAAAGAAACTTCAATTGCACAATGTCAATGTCAAGATGAAAAATGTGGCATATGGGACTACACTAAAACTGAACATCCAAAACGTGCTTTAATGTAGAGAGCTCAAGGAAAACAATGCATTGGAATTACACAGACCCATAATGCACAAATGGGTAGCTGAAGACGGAAATGGCCAAAAGAAGCATGATTCAAAAAATTAGAGATTCGAAGCAGCGAAATAATTTGTAATCAAGTTGGAAATATGTTAAAAAAAGTAACAAAATTAATGTCGGGAAAAAAATACATATGAATTCAAATACGTTGTTAGTGGAAAAATAAATGTTAAAAAAATAAAGACAGAACAAAGAAAATAAAATCTCTGATACGTATTTCGCCACAAAAGGATTAGAAATTCATTTCTTAGAAAAATAAATGATACAAAGCACATCTTAGGATTTCCCATGCGTATCCACAAAATTCCCCTAGACATTTCCCTGAAGTTTCTAAAGCGCTTCTCAGGAGTTCTACTATGGTCACCCAGAAATTTGTAAAATATTTCTCTGAAAATTTCAAAAAGCTTGCCACACCTCAGATTGGTTTACTGATTGGCCTTTGGACATCATCTTCTATATAATTTAGTTCTATTTTGTTATAAGTCATTCCATGCATTTCCCTGCTTCTTGAATATTTTACACTGTTATTGTGGCAATAACATATCGTTTCCAGCATGTTCACATATCCTGGCCGTCAGGACAAACACCCTAACAAAATTTTCAAGCAATCAAGGCTACAACTGCTCCTGTATCATATATTTTCAATGCACAAAATATTAATCTTCAATGCACAGAACAAGAAACCTTACATCTTTAGGCCACTCATACACGAGTGAGAAATAGTTGAAATCATGAGTTGTATCAGTTCCATCAACTATGTCACCAATTGCAGCAATGTGGAGGATAAACTGTGAAAGATATGTGGTTGGCTTAGCACTTAAGGGCCTGAACAATCTCTTATCATAATCAGCAGGTTGCACATTATTTTCACCAGTTGCAGATTTAGGTGAAGCCTGTTTGATAGCTCTTAATCCAAGGCCAAGAACCCCATCCTTGTCGTAATTTAGAATATTTTTTTTATCGTGATTTGAGCCTTCCCCTTTAATGTAATCTCTTTCCATTTCTTCATCAGCAACAGCCCTTGCAAGATTATGAAGCTTACCTAAAATTTGAAGAAAAAAGGAATGTTAAAAGCCTCACAAGACAACCTTTTCAATCAAATCAAAAAAGGAAAAATAATCACTTTGTTTGGTTTCCATTCTTAGAATTCCCTTTTCAGAAAATTCTATTGTTTCGTTTTCTGTATTTTTTTGTTTTCATTAAATTTTTTTAATATTTTAAGAAATTTTTTAATTTTTAGACACACCTAACATTAATTCACTTAAAAAGTATAATATTTGTTAGAATTTACCTACACCTACCACCACCTACTACCACACCTACTACACCTACCACCAATTTACCCTCACCTACTCCTCACCTACTACCCAAACCCTCTCCTATATAATGAGCTACTCTGATTTGTAATAAACCACATCAATCAATAATATCAATTATCAATACATATTTCATTCTCTCTATTTTTCCATACATCAAATTTAACAATATTTGTGAAAAAAATCTTTAAAAAATACACTAAATACCAAACATACCAAAAAAAAAATGAAAATTCAGTACATTTTTTGTATTTTTGTGCATTTATTAGTTGTTTTAAAATATTTTTTCACAAGTATTATATTATTTAGATACATCTAAGTAAGGTGCATCTAAAAATTTTAAAAAATTACTTAAAATTTTAAAAATATTCACTAAAAACAAAAAAACTTAATTTTCAGAAAATTGAATTCAGAAAATTAAAACTAAACACACTGAATAATGACAAATTTGGGAGAAAATACAGCAAGTAAAGGCTCCGTATATTTTGACGTAAAATGTTTTTGTCAAAATATTTTACTTATTTTCTATTGTTTGGTTGAACAAAAAATAAGTAAAACATTTTTTAAGGAATAATTTTTTGTATCATTTTCCCAAAAATAACTTACCTTTGAAAAATCCACAAGTCAATTTTTACAAAATTGACTCTCACTCACTACCTTTTCAACACATTAAGGGATTGTTTGGGGTGTCCTAAATAAGTGTACTTTTTGTCTTTTTGAACTAAAAAGTTAAGAATAAAAATATAGATGTTTGGGTTAACATTTTGACTTTTTTACGAAAAAATATGTATTAAAAAATTATATAAATTAGTGTATAGGAGAAGATTTAATGGAATAGGCCGTACAGGATGAAGTGAGGGACAGTAGAGGCTGGGGAGATAATTCCCTACTTTTCGGGCATTGAATTGGAGGTGTTGTTCGGCCCGTGGGGGCCTACCACGGGTCCCGTTTTGCTAATCAAAACCGTTCAATGTATACAACGCGTCGAGTACTATATTCTTGTAAAAAATCACGTTGATCGAATATCGATAGCTATCTAATCGGATTAGTTTGTTTTCAACTGTCAACTATAATACCATCCATTTTCTAAATTTTAACTGATTTGATCATATAATCACCGATATCTGATCAATGTGATTTTTTACAGACACATAGTACTCGACGAGTTCTATACATTGAACGGTTCAGATTATTAAAAAAGGACCCGTAATGGGCCCCCACGGACCAAACAACATCGTATTATTTGTACACCTAAATAAGTGCAATTTTTCCCAACCTAACTCCACCTGTTCTGCGGTCAGAGTTGTTTGAAAAAAAAGATTGTGTAAAATTAATTTTTTAATATTTTTTTGAGTGAATAGTGATAATTTTTAAACTTTTTTGGTAACTTTTTGACTTTTTGACTTTTTTTGGAGTACCCAAACCAAGCCTTAGCCTCTTCAAATAAGTATCTTAGCTCACTAAAAAGTCATAAATGACACTTTTACTGAATCAAAATTTCTCTTTTAAAATATTTTTGTTTCAAATGTCAAACAAATGCCGAAAAACAAAAATAAAAACATTTTTTTGTGTAAAATCAATTTACAAGAAAAATATTATTTGTGTAAAATATTTTACTTCGAAACAAACGGAGCCTAAATGTAAAACTTATAAAACTAATTTCCCCAAAAGCTTAAACTATTAAGAAATTGACAAACAAAGCTATAAAATTAAAATCTAAATCTGGTTGCTGTTCTGCGGTCAGAGTTGTTTGAAAAAAAAGATTGTGTAAAATTAATTTTTTAATATTTTTTTGAGTGAATAGTGATAACTTTTTAATTTTTTTGGTAACTTTTTGACTTTTTGACTTTTTTTGGAGTACCCAAACCAAGCCTTAGCCTCTTCAAATAAGTATCTTAGCTCACTAAAAAGTCATAAATGACACTTTTACTGAATCAAAATTTCTCTTTTAAAATATTTTTGTTTCAAGTGTCAACCAAATGCCGAAAAACAAAAATAAAAACATTTTTTTGTGTAAAATCAAATTACAAGAAAAATATTGTTTGCGTAAAATATTTTACTTCGAAACAAACGGCGCCTAAATGTAAAACTTATAAAACTAATTTCCCCAAAAGCTTAAACTATTAAGAAATTGACAAACAAAGCTATAAAGTTAAAATCTAAATCTGGTTGATCCAATAATTGACAAACCTGATTTGGATAAATTTGATCAGATTATAGAGATTTGTTCCTCCATTCGTTCGGAAGCAATTCTTTTAATCAATTTTCATTTGTCATTAGTAGATGTTTTTTCAAATTTGTAAGTTCGAGGAACTTTTGTCTGAAAGCCCTCAAAATTTTAAAAAGCCCATTGAAGACCAAAAATATATATATTTAATTGAAAAAACAATTGTTTTGTCTTTAGTGGAATTTATTTAATTTTCATTAAATTTATTTTTTTTTAGGGGCTTTTAGACTAATGCCCCGTTTGGGGATAGGCTATTTTAGCCTAAAAATCAAAAAGTCACTACAAGTTATCACATCACTTTCTCTACTTTTCTACACATCTTTTCTTAAAAAGCCAACTGAAATAACCAATTTCCAAACTATCCCTAAAAGTCCCTAAAAAAATTTTCAAAAAATGAAAAACATAGTACCAGCTGCACTTCAACTGTAGAGAATCAATGTTAGCTATAATATCCTAATTTTTTTTTTTTTTTTTTTTTTGATCAACAACAAAGAACTTTATAGATAAATCAAAAAGAGAGAAGGAAACGAGGATAAGGCATCCTCTTACAAAAGGGTAATGGAAATGCAAAAAACAAAACCCCAACAAGATAATCTCAAGCAAAAGCCTACATATCATACATCGCCAACCAATTTGTTGCTAACAAAAAAGTGGGATTTCCTTAAATAGTGAACTCCCCGACACCCAAAAAGAAGTTAAGTGGCAAATCCTTTCTCCTAGAAGGCCTATTAGGTCCATAAACCCCAGTCAACCACCACTCCGTATTGTCAAGGTTTCTAAACCTAACTGATAGTGAAAACTCCCCCACTATCGTTTCACATTCAAAAACAACCCTCTTATCCCACAAAACCAAAATTCCCCCCTATCTACCAATTGAAGGCAAACAAACCCATCTATTTCCAACTTCCTAAAGACTTTTCATAAATCTCCTATCACACACTTCTACTTTAGATTTCCAAAAAACAACTAAATCCGGTTGATGACTCCTTAGAAAATCCTTAATAATTTTCCGAGAACCCAACCCCCTAACATTCCAACTAATAATCTTCATTGGAAAACATTTTCACCCCTAACCTCCTCAAGCCGCCTCTCATAGTTAATTGAACTTGCTAAATTCCTTAATTCCCTTGCCCCCTTTTTACTACTCTCTCCTTCCTTTCTAACAGCTTTCTCCTCGTGAACCTATTACACTTGCTAAATGGCCCATAAGTGTCCTTAATTTTAACTAGTGACAATCCCATAACCTAAAGTAACTGCATAAAATGAGGTACTTTATTCTCCTCAATTGAGCAAGTCTCATACTTGCTAAACTCCTTCAGCCATCTCTCCGTTTCCTCCTTCCCTTCACTAAAAACCTAGCCCCCCTTGTCAAAATGATTACTTGATACCCCACCCTGATTGTCATTCACCTGACCTTGAGAAATAATAGCATGTAAGGACTCAGACACAATAGTAGACTTAATCACAGTGGCCCTCAGGATTTCAGAAGTAAACCTGTGTACAACAATATCAACTGGTGATATTTCAATAGCAGGACAGGAAGAACTGGAAGGACAAAGCACTGAAACCCCACCCCTATCCCCCATAAACAGAAGATTCAGGAATAGCTTGTAACCCCTTATGAGAAGGTGAAAATGATAAATCTTGGTTAAAGGAAGGACTAACCTGATTCAGAGATTCAGAAACCTTTTCGTTATCCTCACCCTCGATAGTATAATCTGCATTAAAAAGACTATTGAGGTCCCAATCGAAGTCAGCTTACTCCTCCTCAATGGTTTCCGTTTCAAAATGTGACTCCGAACTCTCGGATGATCCATATGCCTCCAGATTCAGCAATACCTCATGCACTTCAAAATAACCCTCGTCCACCTCATTAACCTGCTTTTTCGAAGCCATAATAAGCTCCATCATATCCTCAGTCTCTTCCTCTGGTATCCCATTGTCTCTTTGAAAATCCCCATCTATTCTGTCCACAATGTCTGCCAGCCCTAATTGTACTTCCTCTTTGTTAAGATCATCACGAATGAGTGATTGTAATCATAGCGCACGATTGTCTAGTCCTGATACCTCGGAAGATGGAAGTCGACTCCCCTCCTCAATCGCTGGACTTCTTCGAAGCCCTACATCTCCGCCTAACTCATAGTCTATAACCGGTGTGGCCAAAAGAGTCGGGTCTGCCTGTCGACCCAAACACAACTCCGAAGCATCCATCAATTTGGAAAGAAAAGCCCTTGGACCTTCAACACAAATTGGGCCCCTGTCTTTATAAGTAAGGACCTCGTTTGTATCCCCATGAAGGCCTAGAACATTTGGGCCCAACTGTTCCAATCCACAAAAGTTAATATCCTTACTTGCAATAACCAAATGTTAGGTTGAGCCCACACCTTGGCCAGGCCCAATACCCCTTTTGTCTCTTACTCTTACTCTTCCTCTTCCTCCACTACCATCCTCCTCCTTGTTCAGATCACCCATCTGTTTCCTCACCCTCTTTCTGCCACGTGTCGTGGTTGTCCCCTGCAACTCCTCACCTCCCTTTTCTCAGACGCTGAAGTCACCTAAAAATTCTGGTTGAAACCTCCATTGCCGATGAACCTCCTTCTTTCCGACAGGCTTTGATAAAGCCTTCAATCGAACAACGATAGAAACATCGTCCAACTGAACATGAACAGTTGCAGGTAAGAAGCCATTACCATAACCTCTGACCTTTAATCTTGCCTCAAAAAGATTTCTGAAAGATATAGTTCTACTATCCACCTGTATCAGACCACCACACTTTGCCCCCAGTCCATTCGAAAACCCTTTCATTCCAAAGATTGAAAGGCAAATCACAAGACCCATCCTCCATTTGACACAATGACGTTGACCCTACTATGCATCTCTTCCGACCAGCCTTCTAGCCTCACTGCAATGCCCTTATCGAAGAAGCAAACTCCCTGACCACCATAGTAATTAGCCTCCTCAGCACTATTTGCAAAAAACTGAGCCTTGTTTAATTGAAAAGGCATAGAGCAATTGGAGTTTTAAACGATCGACATAGTTCCTTCTTAATCTGTGACCATTCATTGAAGAAGTCAGTTCTAGTGCATATCACCACCTTACGCATTTCCGAAAAAAGGATTACTACCTCCTAAGATACCTGTTTTAGACTTGAGCACTTCAGCGTATGAAGCTCCTCTGTTTACCCCTGTTTTTTGATAAATGTTCACTTCTGTGTTTCCTCTGCGAGTCCTTAATAAATTGTGGTCACTTCGATGTTGTCCTCCCCTGTCATCGTCCTTAACTCTAGAATCTCCATGGATAATTCGTTCAAATATCTTAGCCATCGCCATCCATCCTTGACCATCAGCCCTTGCCGGAATAATGATATTACCTCTTTTTACCCCAACCTCCAATTTTGACATCTCAACAAAGACACCACTTTTGTTACTAAATTTCTGAAGACAAAAAACTACTCAACTACTACTATACTTGGTGAAAAAGGATCGTTCACTGCGCCAACTCCAAACCTGACGCAAAGCTCGCATTGCCCAAGACACACCCCCCCCCCCCCCTTTCAAAAAAAAAAAAAAAATCTATCTTCATAGTGTAACTTCTAAGTCGGTTCCTCTCAATAATCTCCACTAAACCTCCTCTAGATTCACCATCCACCTGAATGATAATAAGCTTAGGTTCGATTCACAACTCAAAAGCTCCCCCACTATAGACTCTCATTCTTGAATCCAGCATTACTCTCTCTCTCTCTCTCATTCCTTGTTTTGGGCTTGGACAAGATCCTCACAAGCTCAATTGTACATGGAAACAGTGCTCTCTAATTCTAGAATTGAGCTCTCTGACAAACCCAATAAGAGAACATTTTAATCCAAATCTGAATCTGGTGGTCGCTCGTCACTAGCAGCTATCGTAAGGGATTGGAAGGGGAGGTTAGTTGATGGTGTTGTTTCATCTGTTCAATCATCCTCGATCTGTCAGGGAGAAGCTTGCGCGGTTCGTCTGGCATGTAGACTCCTTCAAACTCTTGGACTTTCCAATATCCAAGTGGAGAGTGACTGCAAGTCTGTTATTGATCTGAGTGTTTCAGAATTGGACCCTCCTTGGGATTGCCTAGCTATAGTGCATGATATACAAGCAGCAGCATCTAGATCTGGCTGTGTGTTCTCTTGGGTGCCTCGAGAAGCTAATAGTGTGGCTCATTGGGTGGCCTCAGCACATCTCAAGAACACTTTGCCTTTGGACTGGGTTCGAATAGTTCCTCTGAAAGAGTTACTGCTTTTAGATTCCTCTATGTGGCCTTTGGGTTTTTTCCCGTTCAAAACAAAAAAAAAAAAAGTATTGGCTATAAGCAATCCCACTACTTAAAAAATGTAACCAAACTTACAAACTATCTTTAAATAATTGAATATCTAATATATAACGACCAACATATATTAATGATATGCCTAATTAATGCCATGACTATTTAACTTCTAATATATGTTTGGCCTATAACACATGAATTAATTGTAGACTATTACTTGGTGCTTGTGGCAGGGCCTAGAGAAACCAATTTTATATTACAGACTTTACTCACATTTTGGGCATTAAGCATTGGCCCATGACTTGAATTAATTAGTTAATTGAGCTTGGACTAGTCTTTTAAATCGGAAAAACACTCTTTGGGCCATTCTTTTACATTTGACACAAACCCAATTAGATCCTGTTTTTATCTTCTTCTTTTTCCTTTTTTAGAGAGAGAGAGTAAAACAAGTACCACTCAGAAACTGCCTTTTCCCCTTGTGAGCATCTTCAATCATCTGATGTAGCATACCAAGAGCACGTTCCCTGTGCCCTTGCCGCTGTAACTCTTTCGACGAAGAACTGATGATCTCCCCAGATAAAATGGCCTGAAGAGCTGGAGGTTTATCCTGAAAGAAACATATCATTAAGCAGATAGAATCTTGCAAAACAATATGGGAAAAATTATGCCCCCACAAAAATAAGCAAGAAGATCAACAGGAAAAGCTTTTATGCAACCTTCAACAAGCCACAGAAGACAGAATGACGAGTTTTTTTTTATAGCGAAGTAATTGAAAATATATGAAATAATCAGATGAAAAGATTGCATGAGATGTAGCAAAAGTAGAGCATATACGACATGAAAATTGGTAGACATCCATCGTAAATATCTCAACTATAGATTTTTTTTTTTCCCCCCCAATCAATGAGAGTCAATTGTTAGTTGTTAGATTAGTCCTTGGAGGAGTTGAACCTCCAACCTCTCCCTTGCAAGCACCTAAGTGCTGACTCCATGCCACTAGGCCACAAGGCCATGGGCCCTTGCAGCATACTTTTGCTAAATGACACATGTTTTCAGGCCTTCATATCTAACAAAAGTAGTTGTTTGTTGCTCTCAAACATTATTAGGGAGAGGAGAGAGGGAGTTGTACTAGTCAAAGCTACCTTCCAAATGTTGACTGCAAAATAAATACAATTAGGGGCTCTTTTCAAAACAATTCCAGTGTCCAAAATTGCATCCAACATGGAGTCGATAATAGGAAGAATAGCAACAACCAATCATGACCATTTGTTATGCAAACAATCACTGAGTGTATCAAACCACAAACCTTTAAAAGACAAAAGTCTTTAAGATGTGAAACAATTGACCATATCGAAATATTAATTGGAACCATATCAATTTATCCACAACAGTTTCATTGTGTATTAATTTCATATAACCCAACCAAAGGAAGAAGCCTCCGGCATATGTGTAGAGACTATTTTGTCAGGCTATAAGACTTAAGACTACTTTATTTTCGGTACTCATGATTTTTTTAATTTGGTAAAAAAATATGTATTGTATTCAAAAAGAAACACCAAGGACGTGCTGCCCATAACAATGCAAAATGACAAAAACACCTAAACATCAATCTAACCAAAATGCTCTACAAAATACAAGAAAATAGTTCAAGGATGAATCAACACCAGTTGAGAACCAATTATACAAAATGGCCAACATCCTAATATTTCAAAACAAAACCAGAGTCTCAAGTCCACAAAAGTTCTCTTATTTCACTCCCCCCAAATACTCCGCATCAACATCACAGTACCCAAATGTCACCCCTTCCTCCTGCTCCTAACAACCCTAGCACCCCTCTAATTTAGCAAAACCAAAAACTTCTAGGAAAGACTCACCTCACATCAAACAAGACCAGAAACATAATCCACAATTCCCAAGCCACTGAACAATGAACGAGAAAATGATCCACTAATTCCTTATCCTACTTGCACATACAATATCGATTCTGGACTGGTTTTCTCCAAGCAAGATCATCTATCATAAGAATTTTTTCGAGTGCTATAATCCAAACAAGAAAAGCCACCTTGGAAGGAGTTTTCTCCCCAAATCACCAACCACGGAAAAGAGGCATCCATACATCCCAACAGAACACCATAAACGGATTTAACCTCAAACTTCAAAGGTCACCATCTCATGAAGACCTCCAATCATTCAAGTACAATGAAAAGAGATGACCCAAAAAACATAATCTCCTTCCCTCTAGAGGCAGTCATTGACTGTAGCCCCCGTATCCACCGCAGAAAGCGCTGGGGCAACTAACTCCAATCTCTCATCACCACTCCTGGTACTATTGATGATGAGAAGTGAGTAATGAGAATTCATGTGAAAATGCATCTAAAAGGTCTATAATTAAAAGCTTGAAGATACAAAGAAGTGATTTTGGACCATAGCTTACTCTTAGAAATCATTGTCTAGACTTAAAATTGGTTATAATGATGAAACATGAAAATTAACCAAATTGTGCCCCTGGGTGCCCTCCAGAAGGTTTATCTTTCACCTAATATATTAAAATTGATTTCCACAATTTTATACTAATATGAAGTACGAAATGTGTTTCCAATAACATAAAATAGGTCTTGATTCCATTTAAAATAAAGGAGTTATGCAAATTCCAAAGAGGGGCAATCCTATAATGTTGGTCCAGCATTTCAAGAAGTGTCGGTATGGCACTTGGTTCCCACCTCATGACCTTTTCGTGGGTTTTCCCTATTTTACGTCTGTTTTGACACCTTCAAAGATAGTGGGGCTACCCTTGGGTTGTCTTCACCTTATTTGCAGGGAAAATGCCTTATCTTATTTAAAAGAAATCACATGTTAAAATCCAAGTTAAAAGTAAATACTTATTTTAGGAACGTTTTGTTTTTGGAAATATTTTTGGAAGGTGCAACTTCGAAAGTTGCCTAATCTTATTTAATTGCTTTCCTTACTGTTAAGTTACCAATTTTCCCAAAAGCCTAAGCTATTAGCAAATGGGCCCAACAATGTGTATCAAGCTATCTAACACTTACCAAAACAAGTTTCCCCTACCAAAACGAGTTTTCTCACCACTATGCCACTGAGTATAGCTTATGTGATAATTGAATAACATCAACTTCCATAGGGAATGATTACTGAGAAAGCATTCATGCCATGGGATTCAGACAAAGACTCCTCAAAACACAAAAAGGACAATAAATTGCTGGTGTTCTTTAGACGTAAATCCTGTTAAAAGCATTTCATAATTAGGATCTCAAAATATTACCTGTTCTAGTAATTCATGTAAACGCTTGAGGACACGCTTTGTTACAGAAATAATCCCAAATTCATGAATCTGATCACAGTAAGTTGAACCTGTCTTTGGAGAACCTCCAGGATAAATTTCAGAGAGCATGACCTGAGCCTGCATATGACAAAGTTGACCCATTGTCTCAAACCAAACTATTTAAAGCTATTAATTTCACTTTAGGATCCAAAACATAAAAGTTTATCGTAAAAGAGAGCATAAATTGTTATGACAATATATATTGAGATGAGAAGTGAGAGCTGGGGCACACAGAAGCCAAAGGAAATGGACAAGAAAGAAAGATTAGCAAGAAATTCTACAGATCCAGTGCATTTAAGAAAAAGAAAAACAAAAGAAGAAAAACAAAGGAAGAAAGATTGGACAAAAAATATCAAGTGAAGCTGATGAAGCAACAGACGAGAACTAGTGCCACATAAAACTAGTTCTGCTATGGGGCTAAGGCATAAGCCTACTGAACAAGCCATAACCACAATTACTAGGGGTCACTATATGGACACATCCTTTCAGGTCAGCTCCATGCAAAGCCCAATCCTCTGAATTTAAAGCAAGCTAATTGTTAAAAATTCTAGAAAGCAATGATTTTGGTTTGGCCTGTTAAACTAAAGAACAAATGAGTAGGAAAAGGATTCAAGTTTAAAGATGAAAGACTAGAGAAACTAGGGCTCCTTGTAATTAAAATAATAAATTTAAGCACAAGAAAAAAAAATGATTAAAATTAAGAATATTTGAAGAACATCACCAGAATCCCTTAAGCTTCACCCAAGAGTCAAGGGTGCATCATACAAGCACTTAAAATTTCAAAAGCTACTCCTGAAAGGCCAAACCCCATGTTGGTCCCACCAACACAGAGGTATTTTCCTTTATGATAATGTCAGGGAATTGCCCTCAGACTCAAACCTGATTTCCTATGCTTAGCAGTCATAGTTTTTAGACAAACAGCTTCATGGGCTACTATCAAAACCTCAAAATTCAACTCCATTGGGTGAACCAATTACAGACATTTATAAATTAATTTCTTGGAGTAGGACTCCAAAATTATAAACTTTGAAGCTTCACCAAGAGTTAAGATCGCATCATACAAGCACTTAAAACTTCAAAAGATATTCCAGAAAGGCCAAACCCCATGTTGGTCCCACCAACGCAGGGATATTTTCCTTTATGATAATGTCAGAGGGTTTCCCTCAGACTCAAACCTGATTTGCCATGCTTAGCAGCCCAAGTTTTTAGACACAAAGCTTCAAGAGCTACTATCAAAAGCTCTAGATTCAACTCCAATGGGTAAACCAATTACAGACATTTATAAGTTCAATTTCTTGGACTAGGACTCTGAAATTAGAAACTTTGAAGCTTTGATGAGAGCATCTCTCACTGACCAAAACCCACATAGAGAGCCAAGGCAACTTAACAAGACAAAAAGATAAAAATTAAAATAAAAAGACTAACCACTTGCAAAAACATGTCCAACAAATTTAGAAATTATGGAACACCAAACAAACACCATCACTTCAACAACAAAAGAAAACAAAAAAATCTAAAAATAACTACACCAGGAACATATCCCCATAAAATAAAGACTTAAAATAAACAAAACCCCAGTAACCAAGGTCCTGGGTGGGCTCCATACATGATTCAATTTGCCCCTAATAATTAATATTGTCAGCATGCCTTCCATCAGAAGCACTACAAATATTGCAGAGTACAACTACAACACAAGCTATTCAGGGAAACAACTTGGCCTTAAATGCCCATTGGCCATTGCATTATTAACCGTTTCAGAAATATATTCCCAAATAACCTTTATTTTTTGATCACTAGGCATCATTCTTCTTAAACAGATATTTAACTCATTAGGCTATATCATTGCCCCAAGAAAAACATAATGTTATTTTTCTTAAAAAAATTTAACCATGTACAGTGGGATCTTATCCTTCATTTGCAATCCAAACAAGTAAATTTCATTTTTCTAAAATAGTTTTTTCCTTCAATCCCACTAAAAGTAACAATTCGTTCAAGATTATTGAAATATTACATGGTCTACACCATCTTTCCTCGCATTAGGAATCCAAACAAGTAAATTTTCATTTTTCTAAAATATTTATTTCTTCAATACCACTAAAAAAATTAACACTTCGTTCAAGATTATTGAAACATTACACAGTCTATGCCTCACCTCACAGAAGGTAAAGTTCTTCACCTCATCACACATCTTATAATATTCTATGTTCTTAAAATAGCAAATCCATCCTAAATAAAAACAAAAATTCCATAAAACCAGAATTTGGAGTTCGAAATCACTCCAGCAACACTGTTAATTGTTCACAAAAAGAAAAACAAAACCAAAACTATTCTCATTTGTAGCAGGAACAAAAGCAGTAACCACGAATTACTAACACGTTTCAGAAAAAGAGCAGAAAAAAAACACAAACAAAACAAAACCAATGATGAACTCTGTCTATGAAATTAACTTTAAATATCCAAAACATATAAATGTTTATGACATCGACAGGATTTTATCCAAGACAAATAATAAAATAAAAGATTCTGACAGTATGGAAGGGTTTCACATCGACGAAAAAAGAATTCTAATTAAGCTTCACAGTGGGGGCTTGAAACCTGGCATTAGCTCCATAGAGGCCCCCAAGCTGCCATTAGATTCATGCAAACAGCCATTATTTCTCAAACCATGAGAAAGTAATACACAAAACTTCTTGCTAAATCCTAAAGACATCAACTCCTCACAGAATTTTCATGAAACAAAGGCAGAGTGTGCTATTTATTCCATCAGGAACAAAAAACTGGAATCCGCAATATTTCAAAACTATGTGACCAGGTCAAAGTCACATAAGAGATAAATACAGAGAATATGTTTGAATCCCTAATATACGATCTCCACAATAAAAGTTAGATTACATTGCCTGATCCAAAAGCTTTTGGGACATAGTTGCAGACTTCGCAGAAGATGCAGCAACATCAATACACAGAAGAATCTGGAAAAAAAAAATACGGACATGTCAGTCAATAACATGTCTACCAAAAAAAAAAAAAATCCCCACTTACAGAGGGAAAAGAAAAATGATAACAATATCACTTACAGCAGCCAAAGGACCTAGCTGAGAGCGTAAAGAAGAAAAATCTAATTCTTGGACAGCACCACTACCACCAGCAGCACGGGACACTGCATCCTCCACCTGCAATGGAAGTAAAAGAAGTTAGCCAAAACATGCATAAGATTAAAAAACGCATGCATTGGGGGGAAATGCTGCAGGGAAAATTTTGTCAAGACACAGAAGATTCAGTTTACAAGCACAAATATAATCATGTACTCATTATTGTTAAGGATTTGTGAGAAAATGTTTACAAGAAAACAATTATGGTGGGTGGGACCCACAATTTCCTACAACAACTGAACACACACTCAGGAAAAAAAAAATTATTTTAATTTTCTTTTTTCTTTTCCTTTCCTTTCCTTTCCTTTCAATTGAACAGAATCTAAGATATTTAGACCAAAAGGCCAATATCATATACAAGATAAACTGGCCCGTTGTAGGCAGAGCAAGACTGGGTCCAGGCCAACCTCTGCTATTGTTAAAGAGCACATTATGGTGATCCCTTCAATTTGAGTGATGGAAGGTGTAGAATACTAGAATGGGCCAAACAATTGGTAGTTGAAACAAAAATCAATGACAATGAGATACATATGGCTCTTAGTTTTTCCTTTTTCCCTCAATAAATTAAACAGAAAGAGGTTTTCCAAGCAGATTCAACACTTCGAGATTTACAGTCATCATAGTAAAAAGTAAAGAAGAAATGCATAGGAGGCTAGAGAGGGTTGGTTTCCTCAGTCTGGCCACACATAGTCAATGTAATTAATTCTCTCTGCCAACAGTTAAATCATGTTATAGTAACAGCCGTACCAAGAAGTAAGCAGAAAGAGCTGCAGACATGGATAGAAGAACTAGTTTGGAGATGAATTGTATTAACTAAGGTCAGTGAGTCTATTCAACTTGAGATAAGAACTGCGAGCCTAAATCATTGTGAATGAGGGATCAAATCTAAGAGCAGCCATGTGTGCATATTATACTGACAAAAATCATGTCCATGTCTGGTACAACCTTCATAGGACCTTGCACCAGTGGAACCAGAACTGATTAATGGCCTCTTTTGTCGGGATAACGAAGGCATTCCCACCAAGAGAAACTGCGTGCCATGTTTTATGAAATCAGTTTGGGCAACTCAAGGAGCAAGAATCAATATGAATTGACACATAAACATGGTTGAAACTATTCTCCAACCCTGACCTAGGGTAAATGACTTGTTTAAGTACAATATCCTCAGAGATGGTTACTGCTGATTTCATAGTGAATATAATAAAGAAACGGATTAGAAGGGTAGGAACATATTCTCCTTCCCCTTCATTGGATAAGCATGCTGACTTGTAAGTTGTGAACAGTACTAAGTTCCATACCCAGACCCATGTATCACAACTAACAGAAGTAGTTCAAACAGTTCGAAATCAAATAAAATGATCAATCGCCCACAATATATCCTATTATAACCCATAAATTGATAATTCATCCAGCGAAGTCAAATGACATAATCAACCACCCACAATGTACCTTACTATAACCTATAAAATATAATAAATAATAAATCTACAACAATACATATATGTGTATATATATAGAGAGAGAGAGAGAAACATATTAATGCAAATAAAGTAGCAGCTTGCGATTCATGCATTCCAAGGAGAAACTATATAACATAAAACAAGACAGATATTCCTTGAAAAACCAATTAATATAAGACCGCTAGTTTGGATCATACAGATGCCCTTCTGAAGGCACCATCGACCCATTCAGCTAATTCAAGTGTTGCTTTATCTTCTGGAGGTAAGCGAAATCGATGAACAGCCTCTTCTCCAATGTCATACTTCGCCCTTTGCATGCAACTGTACAATAAAAAAACATCCACTTTAGTTACATTTGCACAGTGAACAAACGTTATGGGCAATGAGAGATAAAACGGATGAGGGGACAAAAAGGAGGACAAACAAAACAGAGCATGTGTCTGCTTTAGTAATTATTGAGGTATGATAAAATATATTTATCAAGGATGATACTTAGAAACTTCGCCAACATTATAGACATAAAAGTCTACAACGAAAACAATATTTATGTGTTGGACTAATTATAGTATTTAATACTATATTACGGCATCTAATAACTATACTATATTCTTGCCCTTGGACGCACAAGCAACAATCATTCCTCTAGGGATGTCTAACTTTTTATCAAAGTTAGCATCACACATCTTCACCTAATTGTGAATGAAATTGATGTCCATTCTTCATCCTACCAACTGAAGTGTATGAAGACATGTTAGCCGTAAATTGGACATTGGTTGACAGCCAATCATGAGGAAGTTACAAAGCTATCCATACAAGGATTCTGGACCCCATGTAGATCTTAAAGCAGTAGGTCAATTACTAATACAAACTAGCCTAGAGAAACAAGCATTCCCAAAAACAAATTTCAATAGGACTTCTTATTGAAACAAGCAGAGACTTCTTCAAATCTTATCCATCAGGCCAGTTTTGGATGCAAAACTTCAACAAGAGTGTCCTATATTATGATATTATAATTTACCGAAGTCAAAAGACATTCAGTTTTTCTCTCTCATTGTTCTTTTCTTTTTCTTTTTCTTTTCCTTTTTTCTTTTTTTGGATCAACAACAAGATGATTCATTGATATAAGAACGAAGTAACAAAATGAGTTCAAAGGTGGACAAAAAACCACAAATAAAAAAGGAGAAACCAAAAATTACATATCACACACTGCTCTCCCTCCAATCTCTACTGATCATAAATAAAGGAATCCCCTTAACAAGGAGGGGAGACATAAAGGGAAGACAATATATTGTATCCCATAATCCATCCACACCTTCATTCTTCTTCTCAAAGATTCCCCTCCCCACCCCAACTCACCTCCCCCACCACATCCCTAACCCCTTAGCCACCACTCCCAACCCCCTCTCTTCCTTCCTCATCTTCTTCTTCAAACCCTAGATCTAGAAACTTAAAACCCTAGATCTCTCTCTCTGTGCAAGGTGGGGGTTGCCGGGGTGGGAGGCTGCAGGCGTGGTGGGTCACAAGGAGTGGGCGCTGCGATGGTGGTGGTCCTGGGGACGAAGGGTGGTGGGCCAGTGGGGTTGGGGGGCCTCCGATGGTGGCTGGGAAATGGTGTCACAATGGTGGTGGCTAGTGACAGCAGTTGGAGGAGGGAAGCGGGTGGCAGAGGAGGGAGGGGCTACATGACCGTGGCCGGTGTTGATAGTGGTGGCTAGTGGTTTTGTTTGTAGAGGTATGTACTGAAAGATTAGATTTTAGAATTTTGTCCAAAAAGGTAATTTGTTTGAGGGCCACAAATGTTTTTTTTTTTTTTTGGAGATAAATGGTGATGTCCAAATAGAACTATCCATTAGTTAATTGAACTCACAGATTAAGCAGCTTAGATGGGGCTGCACGTAGTACAGTCAATGCCTCCTTCCATCTCCACTGACGTTCAGATAATGGTAGAAGACGTTGCAAAATTGACAAACGCCATTCCCAATCTTCAATGAAACATTTAGCATTCGTGATTCTCCAATCTAACACTTGCATCCCATCAGTAGGTACATTGCCAGTCAAAGCATTCTCTTCCTCGAATACAGCAGATGGTAGATTCTGTCGCAATACATCAAGTAGCAGCCCTATGAAAGATACAACCATCTTGTTTCCCCCTTCAAATGTTGTAAAATCAGCATGTTCCCCAGTGCATACATTAGACGATTCTGAACGGCTCCCAGGTGAAAAACATTGTGTCAAATTGAGGGAAAGATCATCCATATGCAAAAGTGAGATGACTATGTTCACCATTAATATCTGCATAATGTAAAAGATGTATTATTATACAAGTAATAAAAAATAAAGAGTTCAAAGAATGCAAAATAAAAAAGAAAATAAGGAGTACTCAAAATTTAAAAAGCAACAGTTAAGTTAAATGCTGCCTTGGTAGAAATATTTATTCTGATGGGGAAACTAGAATAAAAACCAATGAATCATTTTATGTAATAGGAATTAATTTTGCAAATTAGAAGATAAATTAGATTTATTGAACATTTCAGATGAGTTCTTCAATACATCGTGTCTTTCTACTAGCAGCAAGTCAAAGACCAGCTAGCTCCACTTTCTGCCCTAGGTAAAGTGCTGCGCAAATTGGTGGCATCAGCAAATTGACCACCAAAAGAAAACATAATCAACATGCAAAACAGTAAAAAAATCAAAAATAACCTTGCGAGGAAGATTACTGATAGCCTCGAGATGGTTCCTCAAATCCTTCAAATAGCACAAAGCCATTTGATGATGGCTTCCTGTTTCATCAGTCATACTCCTTTCCATAGCTCCCAGTGCAAGAACAGCAAATTCAAAAGCATAACGCATGTGCATAAGTTCAATGTCTTGCATCCTACCAAATTTATTTTCATGAAAATTATCAGCATGTGAAGAAAGAAGAAATTATATATACACCAGCTGCACTTCAAATTGAAGTTATCTATCCTAGGCCAACCAAGTTCATATTTGATGTATCTATCTAAAGATACAAATCGTGACCACACGGAATGACAAGGAAGTCAACATAATGTATTGCAATCCAACAAATTTTCTCTTTTTCATGCTCTTTTTTTTAACCCCTTGCCACACGACAACAGTAAGCACAACTATCTCTCCAACCCAAGCAACAAAATCCAGCACAATATTTTCACAAATTAATTGTCACCCTTCAAAAAATAAGAACAAGAACAAATTAGACACAAGGTAACTTGCATCCGCACCTCTTCCAGGCTGCTACAGTTGAAGTAATTGGCTGCATGCTAATCAGTTCAATTGCATCTTGAAATTTTATGCCCGGAACAACATCAAACAGAACCTGCAAATAATAAAAATAAAGATAAAAACATATTCAAAAAGTAACAAGGCAAAGCTAAACTGACACAAAGGCTGAGAAATTTGGCTAAAGCATCATTGGAAACTGAAATTTTTCGAACTTTAAATCAATGAAGCAGGAGTGAATTAATGCACAAATCATGAGTCAGTATAAACCAGAGATCCTGTAACAGATTAAACAAAGGGAAGTGTTGAGACTGGGCTGGATTAATTATTTATTTTCTTGGATTTCTTTTCCTGCCTGTTTGCTAAATACAAGAATTTCACAAAATTACAGATTTAGATATCTAAATCAATTCTACCTAGGCCATTAAATTACAACCACTGAGACTGGGCTCGGTTAATTATTTATTTTCTTGGATTTCTTTTCCTGCCTGTTATGCTAAATACAAGAATTTCACAAAATTACAGATTTAGGTATCTAAATCAATTCTACCTGGGCCATTAAATTACAACCATTAACCTTAACAAACCTATAGCTTTGTTCTTACTTTCTTTTTCTTTTTTTTAATTTCTTTATTTCTTTTCCCCCTCTCCAATCCATTTCTCTTCCTTTGATTAAGTGGGGCTATCATTGCATTCAAAGCCAAAACGGTTGCCATGAACCCATGTATCAATATGTCACAACATGTCTGGCATAGAATGCCAACCTTTAAAAAGCAGTGTGCTCAAATGCTATACCAAGAAATGTTAGAAAATAGGCAACACCAAAAAGTAGTAAGTGTCCACAAGCTCCTTTAGGGTGTCGGCTTGGCATGCTTTCAAACTGTTTTCACTTTTTGTACAATTCTTTTTTTTTCTTTTTGTGCCGTTAACAGCAAAGGATTATGCGGGGGAGCTTCTATTTGCACACCACAAAAAATTCTCAGTTCACACCATTTTATCTAATTAGATAATTACTATTGAACAAAAATCAATTGTTTGGATATCAAACTACTGAACAAAAATCAATTATTCGGACACCAACTACTAAACATAAATTAATTCTTCGGATATCAACTACCGAACTGGATTTTTGTTTGGTAATTGATATCCGAACAAAAAATGGTGTGAACTGAGACTTTTTGTGGAGTGCAAATTTTAGCTCCCATTATTCTGGCAATATGGCCTAGACAGATATCAATTTTAGACCATTATAGCAACTTAGCAAGTCTTAATTATAAAGTCAAAACTTGATATTATTTATGTTCATAATCGCACATGAAACACAACAACTCAAATATCAAATACAACCAAAACCATCATGGTAAAAGATAAACTCCCTGTAAAAACTATAATATATATATATATAATGAAAGGAAAAGACTTCACTAAACATATAAGACGTAACTTTACTACAAGGCGCCTAGAAATCTACATACAGAATTTTCTATCACGAAGCATAAATGCAATTTACATCTGAAAATCATGAAACCTAGCCTCTCATAAGCCCACCAAGCACACATTGAAAGCACTCATTGAATCTTACCCGAAGGGAACTCTGAACAGATAATCTTTCCAGCACAAAGTTTTCTACAAAAGGATCCAAGAGAGCATCTTCACTTATATATCCTATTGGTTCTTTCCGAGACAACAGCAGTGAGGATTTTGAACTCCAAGATTGACCAGAATTGACACAGGCCACAAAAGAAGCAAGATCAAGCTGATAACATAATGAATCACAAAGATGTTCAACGCAGGACACCTGCCAAAAAAAATTGAATCCTTTTTTTTATTTTTATTCTTATTTTTGATATATTAAGCATTACTTCCATCAATGAAAAGAGAAGGATTGTATCTTCTTTAGCAACAATGAAAAACAGAAAAGAGAAATTATTTTCAAATAAACTCAGAAAGGACAAAAGTCCACTTCAAACAATTGCAAGGAGCTCCCTCCCCTTTTTTGCCAAACCATCCACCTCCACACTACACAACCTCAGGTTCCAATTCATTCCACTCCAACCTCAATACACAAATACTTTAGCTTATGTTTTGATCAACAAAGAGAAATTTATCAAATATAAAATAAAAGTACAAGAGAGAGCAAGGCAGACAAGAAATCCACCAAGCACAAGATAAAAAGAAGATTACAAATTTGTTGTCCACTGGCTTAGGCCTTGTGGTGAAAAATATCGATCATTCATTTTCGCATTGTCCAGTGGCTCTGGCCTTGTGATAGAAGGTAACTTCTATGGCGAAGGTGGATTGGGTGATTCCTCATTCTTGTGTCAATGTGTTTTGCATTGATTTAGGGAATTTTGGTCTTATAATACTAAGGCATGGGTCCTTTGGAGATGTGTGGTTTGTGCGGTCATGTGGGTGATATGGTTAGAAAGGAATTCAAGAGTGTTTACAAATTAAAAGATTCAAATTTTCTATTTTGCTTCTTATTGAGCTTCATCAGCGTCATCTTCCAAGGGGATTCCTTTATGCAATGTAACTTTACAAATCTTTTATCTTATGCATAAAATGGTATATAACCAGACTACTGACCACAGAAGAAGAATGCTAACAAGACAATTGAAAAATCACAAACCATTAGGCTCCCTGAAACATTCAAGAGGAGCAAGAATCATCCATGTGATGGAAAACTGCTAACAGCTTGCTTGGAGAAAACAAACATAACATTAACGCCATCAAATTCTAATCAGTACCAACAGATAACCAAGACAAACAACCATATCCAATAGCATGGCACAGGAAGAATACTTCTTTGCAAAAATAATATCGTTCATTAGGCGTAACAGCCCAAACAACAGGCAACACAGCAAACGGCAACAAAACTTTACTACTCCCACCTGTCCAGATCCCCCCAAACAAATCACCACCAAGGAAAGAATATTTGAGGGAGCTGCCCAATGAATAACTGGAAATATATGTATCTATCTATCTATACTATTACAAAGAGAAGGCTGGAGTTGGTGTGGATGTCTCAGTTTTGGATTTTCCCAAAATACCCCAATAGCAGTTACATGGGCACTGATACCCTACATTCAGATTTTTTCATTTTTTTTTCAAATCTCTCAACTGTCTTTTCAGATTCATAAAATGTTTCAATTTTCAAATTTTGAATTCAATCATACATATGCACATGCATCGGATGTGCCACCACTTCTAGTATATATATATTCTCTGCCAAGAGAATACGCTAACTGGCAAAGAACCCATGATAATCAGCCTCGCAACTGCTAACAAACAACATACAAATGACTAGTTTAAGATTTTTGCCAAGCCTTTTAGCGTGAACGATTTCATTAGTATTTACCACTCGGTGAACAACAGACCAAGGCTCTAAAGCTCCTCAACAAAACTAAGCTCACCTGACAAATCTACCAAAGAAAATTAAGAATCACAAACTTTCTCCAAGACTCAAAAAGGAAAAAGAACAAAGTAAACATAAATTTATGAATCGCCATTTCTACATCCTCAAAAATCCTCCGATTTCTCTCACTCAAACACGCCACATCAAGCATATAGGGCTGCCTCCACATGTAAGTACCTAACGCAGTCTCTTGCAATGGCAACCATGGATCCAACTTTCATAAAATTCAACCACGAATCTGGCATCACCCAAAGCACGCTAAAAATAGAGCACAAGCTCCGCACATCCCTGGAAACATCACAATGCAAAAGCAAATGATTCACTAATTCTTCAACCTTCCTACACAAGCAACACCAATTAGGGAGAAACCAGACCCTCCTTCCAAGTAATCAAAATTCAATAGTGAGGATCAAAAGTGTTGTCGTCCAACCTACAAAAGCCACCTTGGATGGCACTCGAGACTTCCGAATGCTCCTCCAAGGAAATGAATTCCCTGCTACATTACTAAAAGAGTGCTAGGGATTTCACAGAAAACCTTCTACCTTTATCTTCCCACTTTATCTCGTCATCCCTCCCCCAAAAAAACCCTAACTTGATAAAGAGACTCAGAGTAGGTCTCTACTTTGTCCAATTCTCAATCCAGGCTTGCCCCAGTAAATTCAAGCCTCCCAAACCACACCATCTCAGAGATACTCAAATAATCCACTACAAAAGAATTCGTGTTTACAACAATGTTGTACAACGCAGAATTTGGAATCTCCACTGCAAAAGGAACATCCCCACACAACACATCAGTCCAAAATCTAACCCTTCACCCATTCCCAATAGAAAATCATATATGATGGATAAAATCACCCCAACCTTTACTAACAGCATTCCAAAAATCAACTCCAAAAGAGCCCCTAAACTCTCTAAAAATCCACCCCGTCGTATCAGATCCAAACTTTACTTTCAGTACCCTTCTCCAAAGGTTGTCGAGTTCATTCGCTTATCTCCATAGCTGCTTCCCCAACAAAGCCTGCTCAAAGTCTTTAGGGTCTTTTCCTTCGTATCCTCCTTTTGTTCAATTCTTGGAGGAATTGCATTTAGGAAGTTGTTTAGCTCTTTTTTTCTTTTTTTCTTCCTTTGTTATTTATTATGTATGAGGTGCATGTACATGTGGCAGGCCCCTGTTTTGGCACCTTTAGTGATTTTTGCTTATCAAAAAACAAAAATAAAAATAAAAAGCAGTCCGATGCCTAATTATATTCTAATTAAGTGCTCATTTGGAAACTTGGCTATTTTTGTGGTTTTTGGGCTATTTATGAGATGAAAAAAAGGTGCGTTTGGTAGGGGTGTGCATGGGTCGGGTCGGATTTACCCTCAAACCATCAACCGAACCGAGTACATTGGTTTCAAAAAATGACAACCATTGCCGACCGCAATGGTATTCAAAATCGACCAAAATAAATCGTTCAGTTCAGCGGTTGGTTCGGTCGGTGCTACATATACAACTCAATCTACAATCCACCCCCTCTAATCTTGTATTCAAACATGTATGAATGGAGTAGGGGAGACAAGATATGAGAGATTCAAGAAAAATAGATTGAAACAAGCACACTGATTTGAGGGAAAGGGGAAAAGACTCACTATCTTTGAACACCGTCACCACTGTTTCCGTCGATCTACACCAGTATTTTAGTTCCTGTTCTGGTTGATATGCACCAGCACCATCCTTCCCGTCGATTAGCACCAGCGCCGTTGCCATCGTTAAGAGAGGAAGGAGTTTGGGAAGGAATATTGAAAGGATTGGGGGTTCTTGGGGAGGGGAGAGAGAGAGAGAGACAGAGACAGAATAGAGAGAAATTTCTGGAGGAATATTGAAGATGGTGTGAGAGGGTTTCTTAAGGAGAGAGATCAACAGGACTGATGGAGTGTTTCTTGGAAAAAGGAAAAAAAAACTTTGCAGAAGACAGAGAGTCCATGTTGTGTAATTACAGAGAGTAAAATATTGATGATATGATTATCTGAATATAGAGCCAGCTGTTAAACGGTAATAAATTAATAAGAAGATAAGTGCAATCCATATTAGTAAATATAAAGAAACCACATGTTTTGTTTGTTTAATATATAGACTATCGGTCAGATTGGTTTGAGCAGCACTGTACTCCACGCACCAGTTACCAAACGCAGCGGAAAAAAAATTTCAATTTCACAACCACTGACAAACCGAGTCAGCTGTTGGAGCTGACCGGTTTGGTTCAGATCAGTCAGGGCTTGATCAGGTTGGACGGTTTGATGCACACCCCTAGTGTTTGGGGTGATTTGTGGGATTTTTTTGTAGTTGAATATATAATTGTGAGAGAAAAGTAAATGATTGATGTGCAGAATAATGTGATATTTTATCTTTTCCGCTATTTTAAATTTTTTTGTCTTTATTGCCTATTTTAGCCAAAACCAAACATCCCAAACAAAGCCTAATATTTCACATAAGCAATAACAAATATAAATGATTACTTCCTACCTGGTTAACCAGACCATTATTCAAACTAAAGCTTAGTAAATAAATTTAAGCCAAAACAATCCAAACAAGGCATGATCTTAACACACAAGGACAGACGCAAGCTCAACATATAAATTTCTGAAGTAACTAATCTACCAACAGAAGAAACAATGAGAGACAATTAAAAATGAAGAAATCAAGATTTCGGGATGGAGGGAACAAACAAAAGAAACCCTCTTCCTGAGGACAGTCTCCCCAAGCATTGCCACTAATTGTGCATAAACACCAGAAAATAACATCTCTTGTCATGTTTTGGAAATAAAAATAATTACCTCATCCGATTGATTACCATATAGAGAAGACTCTTCCAGCTGTAAAACTTGTGACTTACTTGTCCACAAAAGTTGCAAAAGTTTCCTCCTTGCTGTTGTTTTTCCAGATAATAGATCCCAACCCATGGCTGCTACCAGAGGTTGAAGTCGTGGAAATAATGAAAGGACCTATATCATATATGGAAACATGATATTAGTGAAATTAAAAAAAGCAAGTTGATAAAAATGATATAAAATATTAGCTCACATTAGAATAAACATTCTCACTTTTCTACTTGCTCACTTAAAACATTAGACAAAACGTACAGTGCTAGCCTCTTGAAGCTGCTCCCTCTTCACAGCAGACAGCACAGTATCCATGACACATTCTAGAACATGCAAACCAGAAACACGAGCATAATGGTACATATCACTCATGCAAGAACCGGTTGCCATTTTGGCAGATGAAATTTCGTTTGACTTTGTCTCAGGTTTCAAGTTGGCAATAAAACTTTGAAGATGCTCGAGAGGGGGTGGAATATGGTTGTTATCTGAAGCTTTGAACATCTCAATCTCTTCAGCTAGCAAATCATCATGAATAACCTGTAGATCATTTTGATTCAAGCAAGTAACACATTAACAAGGCAAATCCAGATGTTTTAACACAACCAGGCATGCTTTACCAAATATAAGAGACACGCACGTACAGTTTCACCAAACATTAACAGCAACAAACAATGCTAATGTTTACAGGAATAGCATGCAGCCATTTCATCATATAGTGGACTATAAAAATTACAGAAAATCCGTATGTTATTAATAACTTACAACAAGAGGAATGCCAACATTCCCATGACAAGACATGATGGACCTCACATTTAAGTGGACAAATTTACCTTCATATAGCTGAGTATTGATACCTCAACTAAATAAAAAAGAAGTGTCTTAGTGCACAAAACTCCAGCTAAAGCATAGATAATTTTTATTTCCGCACTTTTATGATGGAGCTTTTATTTTTTGTTCTCTTCAGTCACACGGAGACTGGGTCCAGCCCAGGAAAATGGTGGTTACTCCTGTGAAAATGTTGTCTTATTGGTTCTTTGGTTATTTCACATTTAGTATGCTATTTTTTATTTTATTTTTTGAAGAGACACATTTTGTAATTTAGTTCTTAGGGTTTTTTTTCTTATTTAATTAGAGTAAAATTGCTTTGTAAATTAATTAAGTTTAACGTCATATATGGTGTATTCTTCCCTTTTCTATTCTCATGTGGTATCAGAGCAAACCACATTGCTAGAGACTCATTGGTCGTTGCCAGATTGGTGGAACACATCATCTGCAGCACTCCACTCCGTTCAATTTTGAATCAATCACAGCATCACAGTCCTCTCTGTTCTCACCTCGAAATACTTAGTTGCAAATTCCAACAATCCTTCATCTACTTCATTGTTCATCATCTTCCACGATGGAAATCACATTTGGTGACTCTTCTTTGCAGAAACCCCTAGCCAAAGCTTTTCACTTGCTTGCAACTACTAGATAGCATGATATATATTGTCAAACCCATTTCCTAACAATAAAGCTTTTAGGACTAGTGGTGGTCTAACCTCCTATCAGAACTCAAATTGGGTGAGTCTTTGGTTCAAATATCTATGTTTGCATTTGTTTCTCGTTTGCATTTTCCTTCTCTCTATGGACGTTTGTTTGCATCTTCGGGCAGAGTTGCATGTAAAGGAGGGTGTTGGATAGCTTGACATGCATTGTTGGGCTCATTTCCTAATAGCTTAAGGTTTTAGGACTAGTGATGATCAAAAAACGAGCACCACTCTTTGATTTGCGACCCCTCTACACTCTCCACCCGATTCTCTAATACCTCTGCAAATCGCGACTTTGACCCATTCGTATCTTTGACGTTGTTCATAGTTATATTCTCGATCCAAAAAGCGAAGGCTTGACATGACCTGCTCAACATATTTAGAAACAACCATATTTCTCTTCTACCTATGTTGTTTCTCTTCTTCTTTTTGGTTGCAAACAACAAGTGATTAGCATTCGGTTGAATGGTAACAATTACTCTACTTGGTCAAATGTCATGAGGATTTTTTTACTCGATGAAGGAAAATGGGGTTTTGTGGCAAGCTCAACAATTAGGCTCATTGACCCTGAGACAAAAGAATATGAGAAATTTACTACAACATGGAACATAAAAAATGCAGATGTGCTTACTTAGGTTTCATAGCTCCATGGGGTATAGAACCGAGCATTAATATGAACTTTTCTAAGTATAACACAACAAAGAAAGTGTAGGCCTATTTGAAAAGTATGTACCTCAAATCTAATTTTGCCAAAAATATGAATTAGCAATGTTCATTCGGATTGCAACATTGAAAGATAAATCAATTCAAGAATTCTATAATAAGATAACCACTCATTGGGATCAATTAGCTCTTAATGGAACCGCCTGAGTTGCAAATGCCTCATAGTTATGTGCTAAGAAGTGCGGACACTTCTAAGAAGGTGAGGTGTCTATGTTAGACATGTGTCGAACACCAACACTCCTCGAATACATGTTCGATACTCTTTGTTCAATGTCCATAATTAAAAATAAAAATCATAATTTCAACAAGTGTTTGTCACTTGGGCCTATCACTAAAAAATAAACATAAGACCCACACTTATTGAATATTTGCTAACACATATTTTCAAAGTTCGACAATTTGATATAAATATCTATAATGTATAATTATTAAGAACAATCCTATAAAAATTTCATATAAATTTAAATAAAAAAACAAAAAAGATACATAAATGTATTAGTAGATGGATTAAGAGGATGCATGAAATGTTGTAATTATATATAATTATATATGTTTGCCATAGTTTATCTAATTTTAACTATCATGGTCCAGTAGTCTAAAAATTCATGTAAGAGTAGATACAAAATTTACTTACGCTGTGTTTGGTTGAGGGATTTGGGAAGAGATTTGAAGGGAAAAAAAAAGGAAAAAGTAGGTGAAATGTGAATAAAATATATCTACATTTCACCTAATTTCATACAATTTTTCCCTTTTCCTTTCGAAATCCCTTCCCAAATTCCCCAACCAAACGCAACGTTAGTACAAAGTAATTATTTAATTTTGTATGTATTAGGCACATATTTAACTATATAATAGAATATATCCTAGATAACATAATATCAAGATAAATTATTTGTGGCGTCTCTGAACCATGTCCATGTTCGTGTCCTATTTTTTTGGAATTTGCCTTGTCGACGTGTCAATGTCATATGTCGTATCCCTGTCCCATGTCCATGTCTATGCTTCATAGGTTATATGAATTGAAGATATAAGCTAAGGCTAGCGTAGCTTCTCATGGATTTTAGAGATTAGTTTGAACTTGTTTATGGTGCCATACTCACCGGTCCTCATTGCCTTCAATTGATGAAGAAATTCGAGAACTTATTGCTAAGAAAACAAGATTCAAGGTAACACAAATTGCATCTCCCTCTCAGCTAGTGATTGCTACTCCTTTTACTCAACCTCCACTTGCCCACCCATTCTACTAACTTATGTGGTTATGGACAAGTGCAGTTTCTCTAGAAAGGGCATTGGAGGAATGAATGTCCTACACTAGCGCATGAAAACAGGGACACCTCTTCCTAGACTTTAATTGAATCGTGGTCGGACATCACAATTCATCGTTCTTGGGGTAGGGATTTGGTCTCTTTACGATTCATCTAAGGTGGGATGTTTTGTTTGGCATCAACACTTTACAGGATCCTTACTTATGATAACATGATTTGTAGATGAAAGACACATTACAATTAACTGGTGCTGTACATAAGCAAAATAGGTAATCAATCAACCACCTTATTCATTACCTTAAGCCTGGAGAGCTTTATGTGTTGATCTTAGCCTCATTTGATGTGCATTAGGTTTTCCCTAGGAATGTTCGAGGAATGAGCATAATTGGAGGGACGGAAAAGGTGGGAAGATGAGAAAAATAGCTCGTTGGTGGTTTATGTGTGTGATATGAATTATTTAGGGAAAGCAGAATCAGATATCTGCTAAAGGTGTGAAGAGAAACCTTTTTTAATTTGAATAATAGGCTAGGCTCCTATCCATTTTTTATAGTAGTATCTCGGGAAGGGTATACCCATCCCTTGGGCAGTTTCTTGATTTTGTTATATTTTGGCTAGACAATTTCTGTATAGGAGACCCTTGTTCTGAAGAAGTCATATAGGAACCATTTGTTTCCTTCTTTGCTCAAGTGCCAATTGAATTGTTGACTTCTAACTCATCTAAAAGCTCAACTTGTCAGAGAAAAGGGTAACTTAGGAAACATAGGATCAATCGCTTGCTCTAATACTATAGTATATTGTTGACCACTAACTTATCTAGAAGCTTAAGCTAATAGAGAGAAGTAGGTCAAACACATGCAAGTATTATAATCATGAATTATTAGGTAGGCAGTGAGATTCGAACACAGGATCTATTGTTTACTTTAATAGCATGTCAACCTTTTTAACACCAACTCAACTAAAAGCTTAAGCTATTAGAGAGAAAAGTAACTTTATTATTTATATCCTTAACAGTGCCAACCCCTTAGATGCCTTTTCCAATAAATTTTACTAATCAACCAAAAAAACCCATAAATCTTCCAAGGCGGTGAGATTCGGACACAGGATCTATTGTTTTCTTTAATAGCATGTCAGACTTTTTAACACCAACTCAACTAAAAGCTTAAGCTATTAGAGAGACAAGTAACTTTATTATTTACATCCTTAACAGTGACAACCCCTTAATGCTTTTTCCAATAAATTTTAATAATCAACCAAAAAACCCATGAATCTTCCACGGCAACTAAAAGGATGTAATTGATTCACAAGCTATTGTAAGTTCTAATCATGGACTTTGCCATTTGAAATGATTAGAATGCAAATTGAGGAATGGGTTTCTCCAAAAATGGGGGAAATGTTGAGTCAACTTTGAGATTTGAAGCCATCAGAAATGCAACTTTGATACTTGTGGTTTCTTACACCACACCACCACAAAAATCAAGCTCGAGTTTCCTTGTGCATGAATCTTCTAGAGCACACCAAAAAGAAAATAGGCAAATTGGAAATTTCACATTAAGCATGTTAGGAACCTCATGCAATGAATATACGAGTTAAACTCCAAACTTATGCTAGGTTTGTATTGGGTCAATTTGCTGCTGCTAATGTTTTCTTTTTGTTTTATCAAGTTTTAAAGAGTCAAGTTTAATCGGGGTAGTTTTCAGGGTTTCTTAGACATTGGCTGTAGCATGTGTCCATGGTTCATATTTAGCAAGTCAGATCTTTCGGTTATTATATACTATTTATATTATATCTGGAATGTTTTAGTCATCAAATTTTCCTATTTTGGAGTCCTACTCTTGTAGTAGCAGAAAAAGACTAGCAACATACAAGCAAATCTCTGTTAACTCAATTAAATTCATAGAAACTTATAATTGTGTTCATGCCGTGAAGCCTAAGGATTTTCACCTTTATTTGAATATCAAAGAAAGCTTCAAATACTTGCTCTCCTGAATTTGCAGCAACCTCTTCCCTCATATTCGATCAACCTGTCACCTTTCAAACCAAGCCAATCTCAACCCCTTTTCATCTACAGACCATATGGTCATTCACTCATCTAAACTCTAAAAGTACGAGTAATCTTGCCATTTCCCACCTTATACTTTACCATCGGTTGCATAAACTAACCAATGTGTCTTTCAAACCTCACTAAATGAATGGGTCCATTTTATGAATTCTAGGCAAAGCATACCACTCATAAGCAAGTTGCAACTGACAAAGGTGTCCATCTTTCCCCCTAGGCAATCAACAAATCAATTTCAAGCATTCTTCTCCAGCCTGTCCTACCTTCTACATTTTCCAATATCAACTTTTAGTGTTTGGTAGAACAAAAGGGAAACGAGGAAAATTGTTAGGTAAAACAGTATCTTTTACTTAGAAAATATGAAGAAGAAGAACTCCGAAAATATGAGGAAGAAGGAATATATTTCTGTTATATTCAAAACTTCTTATCTTACAAGACCAAATGACACTCCTTATATAGGAGATATTACAAACATCATCATAACCCATTATATGCCACTTACATATTATATATTACCACTATCTACCACTATCATATTATATACATGCCACTATCTACAACCAACACCACTATCATATTCTATACATACCACTATCTACCACCAACACCACTATCATATTCTATACATGCCACTATCTACCACCAACACCACTATCATATTATATGCATGAACACAATTTCCAGCACTTTTATTATTACACTTCTACCCAGCAATTTACTTGCAATGGGATTCACCAACCTCATGTTGGGCACCAATGTGTGTCTAATTCTCAACCTAGCTTCCCTAACTTTTTAATCACATATAGGAAAGCCAGCTCACCCTCTACTTTAGAAGTTTATAAATGACTGCCATGGACACACCCTTTCCCTCCTTGCTTCAATGTTAATGTCGATAGATCTACAAGTAGTAACCCAGATCAAAAGGGTATTCAAAGTACCTGTAGAGACCATATTAACTGTATACTTTAGCACCCCCACCCCCCATCCCCAGTTAGAGAGAGATCACAATTCTCCATTATATGAATCGTCAAGGTGAAGAAAGAGAGAGAGGAAAACCAACTCCCACAAAGTTGGACATCAAGGTTCACTCAAGCTCCAAGATTCAGGAAAACTAATAGTGAATAAGCAGATATTCTATGTGACAAGGAAACCATACCTTGAATTCCATTAAAACAACTTGAAAGTAGAAAGCAAATTATTTAGCTTAAGGAGGATAGTAGGTTCAAGAAAGCATCAGTCCCCGGTTCTTTCTCCAGTAATGTTCTCTCTCCATTTTTGAGATCTCCACCTCTCTGTTTTAATCTTCCTATCTTTCAATAAAAGTTCGATTCTTCACCCCCCCAAAAAATTAAATAAATTGTCGAACATTTACGATTGGTATAGACTGAACATTTTTGTATATAATGCTTCAGAATAATTATAACAAGAAGATTAACAGCCATGCCAATTTTTACCTACCATGGAAAGGCAAAAAGATAATGAGATGCAAACAAAACCAAGCAAAGTACAAACAAAATATGCATGCATCAAGTAAAGGATTCAAGCTAGATTCATTCATCTGAATATTTTACTAAGAAATGAAACAGAAATGGACCATCTGCACAGCACCAACCATTCTTAAAGGAAACAATAAAACCACCTGAATCATTTGAACAAGGCGTATGCAGTTTGATGAAAGAGCTTCTCCATAAATTAACAACAATTTATCTCGCATGGCTAACCAGTTATCACCATATTCAGCCTTTCTTGACAAAACCCTCTTCAGGAGATCTTGCAAAACCATGCTATCAGAAACATAAAAAGGGAGTATAAATAGAGTGTCTTGCTAATAAGTGCCCCTACGGCACAAAAAGGAGAACAAAATTGAAAAACACGAGGCACTTTTCACTGCTGTCATACACTTCATAATTTTTTTCAACTATTTCCAAAACGCTTTTTATCTCAATCCCAATATTAAACAACGCCACTAGGGCACTTTTTGGCATTTGCCATAAATAAATATCAGAAAATAACAAATCAGTAGCATTTGGGGCAATATATTCCAAATCAGTGGGAATTTAATTATAATAATAATGGAAAGAACCAAAAGAAATTATGAAAGGGTGGAAACCACACCTTAAATTTATCAAAATGCCCTCATCTTCCATAAGAAACTTCGACCACCAGCCCAGCGGCCAGCCACCACCCCCCACCCCCCCCTCCACCACTCCACCCCCCCCCCCCCCACCACCAGCTACCCACCACCCACCGTCACCACCCCTTCCCACCCCTTCCCACCCAACCCAACAAACTAGTCGATCCAAACCCTAACCACCGCAGCCACCCAAACTCTCCAATCCCCCCCCTGTTGCAACCCCACAACTCTCCCCCATTACTGCAAAACATGTTCAATGCAAGTGTAACATGTGGACAGGTGCATAAGGCCAATTAGTTGAATATGTCTAACTAAAACAAATTAATCGATAACAAACAAATATGATCATTTACTTCCTCATTTTATACACCTCTCTGAAAAGGGTACAACTGATTTGTCTATGTTGAACAGAAAATAAACAAACAGAAGTGAAATAAACTTCATGGAAAAACACTTGTATCATACATACAACCATAGAAAGAAACAACACTTACCGGTACTCAGTCTCCTCCACTCCATACTCCAAGTGAAGAAACCGAACATGAGACAACACTCCTTCCTCATCATTCTCAATCAAGCATTCCTTCATAGCATCTAAATGTACAATCTGAACAATCCTCTGTATCAACTTAAGCACCTTCACATCCTCCTCTTTATCCTCCTCCGATAGCTTCCTTTCCCTCTGTAAAGTAATGGCTAAACCCGAATCATCATGTTCAACCACACACTGAATTTGTTTCTGAATATTCACAGACAACACATCAAACACATCTGCATTATCCAAAATCACTCTCCTCAAACACATCAACTCCTCCTCCTCCACCGCATCACTACTACCAGAGCTCCCCTCGCTTTCCCTCTCCTCAACAACAACCAAATCGGGCTTCAACCGATTCACACCCAAATCTGATAATCTATCCAAGACCCTCAAAGATTCACCCGAATCGGCACCTACCTCCTTCAATTCCCCATTTCCAGTTAAAAACTCGGCCCGCGAATCTTCCGAGTCCAATTTATCAGCATCTTTTTCAATACCCTCCAAATCGACAACCTTTCGGAGACTCTCCGAGACCCTAGAACTGATTGTTTGAATGAACAACAAGAATTCTACGCGCAATCGCAAGGAGTCGGGATCGAAGCTCCAGATTGAGGAAGAGTCGTTGAATTGGAGGAGTTCGAGGGTGGAGAGATAGGTGAGGAGGGAAGGAGAGGGGCAGGAGGGAGACCATAGAACCTTGGGGAGGCGGCCGCCGGCGGAGACGAGGGTTTGGAGGATGGAGAGGGCGAGGTCGGGGTTGCGGGCGCGGAGGCTGAGGAGGGTGGCTCGGAAAGCTTCGAATTGGGCAAGGAAGAGGTGGTTTGCGGTGGCGCGTGAGAGAAGCTCTGTGTATTTGTCTTCCATTTTGGGTAGAGAGATAGAAATCTAGGGTTTTAGATATGGAGTCATGGTGATGGTGTTGATGGTGATTGAAACTTCCAGAGGTGGTGATGGTGATGATGGTGAGAGAGTGCATAAGACCAAGAGAATGGATTTTAGGTTACAGGGAATTATAATCAACTACGAAACGAATTTTTAAAGTTTTACATTCCACACACCCTCTGTATAGTTCCCATTACACATTGCCCCACCAACTTAACTTTTTTTTTGGTGGGTACCCCCAACTTAACTAATTGAAAAATGCTTCATACCACTAATTTAGCACCACTAATGTATCACTAATGATGAGGCATCATGTGGACCCCACCACTGATGTGATAGTTTAGCCTTTGTTTTGTTTTATTTTTTTTTTTCTTTGCATTGCCACATCATTAGTGGTGTTTTTAGAGCTTCAAATTTAGTGTTCTAAATCACCACTCTAACTAATTAGTGCATCCCCACCCGTTTTCTTTTCATAAAATTTGTCAACAAAATTTAGAGGTGGTTTTGAAATATTCTAAGTATATTTTTTAATTTTTAATAAAAAGTAAAGAAAATAGGTAGAAAATTAGAGAGAATATATTAATTGATGTGACCCAACCAAGGCCTTGTTTGAGATATTTTTAAAAAGTCAAAAAGGCACTATCCTATTTAAGTCATATCATCTTATTTAAGTCATATCACCTCTCTATCACATCACTTCAAACTCAACCCATACCTAACATATATTTCACAAAAAAATCAAAAAATACACTTATTTAGGTCATCTCAAACCACCCCTAAGGCCTAGTTTGGCATAATTTTAAAAAGTCAAAAAGTTAAAAAGTCACTATCCTATTTAAGTCACATCATCTTATTTGAATCACATCATCTCTCTACCACATCACTTCAAACTCAACCCATATTTCACGTTTTTTCGTGAAAAGTCAAAAAGTACAATTATTTAGATCATCTCAAACAACCCTTAGGTAAAAAAAAAAAGTGCACGAAATCACTCTTTTCGTAAAAAGTCAAAAAAGTGTATATATGCACAAAAAAAAAAAGTACACTTTTTTAGTACAAGCCAAAATACTTACTTCTAAAGTTTGAAAAAGTCCTAATCACAAAAGGTGACCACTGGGTTAAATCTTAAAGAGTCGAGACTTCAGAAATCACTTTTTAGGAATATAAAAATCACCTAAGTCTCGTAGATGATCTGAAACTCGCTCACGAGCCCAGGCTCAGCCCGGGACCCTAGGTCTAGGCATGGGGCATCATTTTGAAACCAAGTCCGCTAATCTGGTCTAACCCAACCTAAAAATCTTTTACATCTTGCGGACGAGCCCAAGCGACTAAAAAGTTTTTTAGTCAGGAAAAAGTTTTATTTGCCGACTAAATTTTTGGTCGCTAAATATATAATGGGTAAATCACACTGACACCTCCTGAGATTTATGTTTATTACAGTTGTTATGACCCATAAATATATATATATATATATATTAAATAGTCATTTTATTACGTAGATTGATGTGTTGCTCTGTCCCATATCAACGAGAAAAAAAATAATAATTTAAATGTCTGCTACTCCAAACTAATAGTAAAAAAATAATAATAATTCAAACAGTCACATGACCGTTTAACACAACGGCCCAAAAAAAAATTATTTGCAAGCTCACCACATCCGTCCAAACTCCTATAAATATCTCCATATTTCAAAATAAATCTCATAAACAATTTTCTCTCTCAAACTCTCAATCACTCTCAACTCCCACAATTAATTTTGGAATCTCATTCCTAAACGGCAATTGCAATTGTATAAGAAGAAACTTTTTGTTGGCTTTTTGACTTTCGAAGGTTATTTTTGTAATTATGAGCGTGCCAACAAGGATCAATCAGTCCTTACAAAATTGTAATTGCCAACCAAGTATTCAGACGATTGTGTTATAGTTCTTTCAGCCTCAATGAAGAGGACTTTTACTGGTGGCTTACTGGTAGCTTAATTTAGGAGAATTTAAGCATAAGAACAGTTAAATAAATTGAAGCATTTCATTAGTGTGAAAAACTTACAATGATCTCAGCCTCGTAGAGATTTACAACGGCAATATACTCGAAAACTACTCCTACAAATGAAGTGCAGTACAGGAATTTAAAGTACAGAAATGTAAAGAACAGGAAATATAAAAACTGGAATATGTAAAGTAAGACTGGTTTTCTTTAGATTTGAGCCTCCCATTTTCTCTGAGGTCCTTCCTGCTATTTATACTCCCCAAAGATAACCATCGAACTGCACTTTAAACTGTCGAACTGCTCATCTATAATCGCTGATCATGCTGCCTTATAAATAGTTCCACTACGCTTTCACTTGCAGTTAGGCTCCCCTCCTATATTTGAATTTGAATGTGAGTAACCGTTAAAGCCACGTCACTTTGCATCTCTTTGTTGATCCACTGTTACTCAGATCTTATAACAACCAATTTTAACTGTCACGTGTATGATCAGGATCGGAGACTTGACTGGTTTCCCCATATTGCCCTTACCTTGGCACACGTCGAATTGTCACTGGCGTATACAAAATATGTAGCCAACATTACCCCCCGCACTAATATACCCAAGACTTGGTGATATTAGTGGATCAGGGTCGTTTCCCCACGTCTTAGAACGTATATGGGTTTTGCATCTACCCATAAATGCAACTGTCACTCACCATTTGTATTAAACTCTCTTTTAATCCTTTAAGCACTTCCACTGTCTTAGCATTCGAACAGACTGATACATTTCATGGCCGAATTAATTTTTTCCTCCAGTGATCGAGCACACGAAGAGTCATATGTCGATGATGTTCCTCCTCGAAAGAACGTCCATGCATTTATTAGCCACATTTACCCACCTTTCTATATTCAAGTCATGGATGCCTTTGCAAATTACCAACCTTTAGACTACGAACATATTGCTCTTAATCCTTCGATTCAGAAAGTTGCAGGTCTAGACATAAGAAGTTCTTCCTCTAACTCGCCCTTACAATTCGAACAAACTGCTCTCAAACCTTTGATTCGAAAAGTTACAAATATGGACTTAAGAAACTCTTATTCACAAGTCTTTGTATGGGATAAAGCTGCAACTTCTTTTTCTTCTGAGTGTTCTGACTGGACAAGCCGGTCAACATCTGAGACCTTTGATTTGAAGGAGCGAATCAACCACCATTTTGTTGAGTTTCCTGACCCTTTAGAGTTTCATTCCTATGTTCGAAGTTCAGTGGTCTATCCCTATGTGCCCATTGACCATCGACGTAGTCTGGAGGAGAATCTGTTTGTAGCATGGTATACATCCTCCATGCCTACAAAGATAGTGCACGCTGTCCGCCGCCCAGAAGAAGCACAAGGGTACAATCCATCATTCTTAGCCCAGAAGGCAAAAATTTGTTCTTTTGACTAGCTTGATTATATTAATGCCTTTGTTCCTTCTGCTCCCGTGTCATCTCCGAAAATAGAAGCGTCCACACCTTCTTCTTCGTCTCCCGAAATTGAAGTATTCATACCTTCTTCCTCCACCAACTCTTTGCTGGACAGAGAGACTGAAGCTTGCCCTATCCATGAAAAACGTCTTCCCACCTTTATAACCTCTACCTTCTCCTACTCCAGCTGAGCGGAAACAAGCTCAACTTCTGCTTGCAGCTTTCTCTCACTTGCCTTTTAATGTCTTGAGGACGAAGTCCCTCTCAAGAACCTTCGATGGGCTTGTGATATTCTAACTAGGGGGCCATGTCCTTAATCCCCTTGCTCAAGTAGAACTTCATATGTTTCTGGACCAACTTCCATTGCTCCTTTACTGGCATCGAAATTCTGTGGCTACTACACAGTCTTTGGACCAACTTTCGTCTCTTCGAATTCATGCTCAGTACGAAGCAGAGAACTTCATTGAAGAATTCGGTGATTTCAAGAATAAAGATTCTGCGTATTGGGATGACTTAGACATTGACGAATTGGAACAAGGATTAAGAGAGGTGGCTTTCGAAATAAAGGCTGAAGAGCTCTACTACGAAGTGAGAACACATCAACTTATGCAGCCAATGCTAGAACACTTAGAAGATAGAATAAGGAGAGAACAAAAGTTTATTGATCATTGTTGGACTAAATTTCATGATCTTGTTATTTATTCCATTCCTTATTTTTATGAGCTCGAGTTTATACCAAGATAGGGTCATCTGATGTAATCGCTTTGGCTTTAATAAACAAAATTCTTCTTCATTTGGCATTATTTGAGCCTGCTTTCACTTGTGTTTTAAAAGTCAATTCAGAGCTTCGAATTAAACAATTTCATCCTTTGAATCTGGACTTAATGGTTTTAAATGAAACACTAAAAGAGCTAATTATGAACTTTTTCAATTTGTGGAATAAAGTTAACAGTTTTGGCTGATTTTCAATTAGAAACAGTGCTTCGGATCTAGCAATCTTATACTTAAAGTCTGTTTTGACCATAATCAACATCTAGTCATTGTCATTATTGCTATTGATGTTTCAAACACCAAATCCCATCCTTAAAGAATCTCAAGTTTTGCCTCGAAGGACATTACATTTGTTAAAAACCTAAAAACAGGTCTTTAAACCCTTTGAAGTAAAATAAACACTCGAGTATTCTTATATTTTGGGTATGGAAACCTGCTTCGAAGCCGGCTTCTCTGTTTCGAAGCCGTTGTTTTTTGGCTTTTGGCACTAAAACTTGGCTTCGAAGCCAAATATCTTACTTCGAAGCGAGCCTCAATATCTGGGCTTTGTTTTTCCCTCCAAAAGTATCAATATTGAAGGAAGCTTTTGTATTCGCACTTCTAATACTTAACAACTTACGCAATATATTTTCAGACACAAAGGCTTTAAAAACCCTTTTGTTTCGTGCTCTGAAACCACTTGCTCTTTTAACGCACAAGCCCCTCTTTCTACCGATCTTCGGCTTCTCTCTACTTCATTTCTCGGTTTCACTTTCAAGAAAAGCACACTGTCAATGGCTTCTCCTTTAGTATCGGTCGTAGAGCGTACGAGCCCATCTGTGGCCCTGAAGAGGATCATTGATGCAGAATGTAAGAAGTACAAAGCTGGGGAGAAAAGCGCTATTGATGGACGCATCTTTGTCCCTCGTCGCCATGTGTAGCAAGACTACGTGCTTGGGC